CGGGCGCGCGGCGGCCGGTCACGTTTCTGCCCGTATGAAGCCGGAGCCGGGACGCGCCGGGTCGGCGGGACGCGCCGCGCGCGGTGAGTGGGGGCCTGCCGGGCGCGCTCCCCGCGGCCTGAAGGGGCTGGGGGACCCGTGCGGGCGCGCGGCGGCCGGTCACGTTTCTGCCCGTATGAAGCCGGAGCCGGGACGCGCCGGGTCGGCGGGACGCGCCGCGCGCGGTGAGTGGGGGCCTGCCGGGCGCGCTCCCCGCGGCCTGAAGGGGCTGGGGGACCCGTGGGGAGCGGCGGGAGGGGGCGGCGAGCGGCGGCCGCGGGGGGCACAGGGGCTCTCCCGCCTCCCCCGCCCGCCGGGCCGAGGTTACATAACCCTCGCGCCGGGGCTCTGCCGTTGCCGGGACGATGCGCTCGCGGGTCGCTCCTGTGCCGCGGGGTCCGTCCCGCTGCCGGCCCCGGCCCGCCGGGGAGGGGGCGTGTGGGGCTCCCTCAGAAGGGCGGCTGTGACACGCCCCCCCCCCGCTCCCCGTGAAACCGCAGCGAGGGAAGCGGCGGCCGGCTGTGAGTCGCTCCCCGGGGCGGGGTGCGGGGCTGAGTGCGGCACGGCCCCCGCCCGCCTTGGACGAGGAGAGCGTTCGGGAGTGGGGGCACAGACACCCCCAGCGGGGCCGGGACGGCAGCTGGGCTCTCCGAGGGACGGCCGCCTGCGGCCGGGCAGGGGCGCAGAGGGGGCGGCGATGGCCCTGGCCCGGAGCGGCGGAGGAGGCGGCGGCGGGGCCGGACCCGGTTCCCCGGCGGGGCTCCGCTCTACCGGCCGCGGGCTGCGGCCACGTCTGTGCCAGGGGGTGCGGAGCGGGCGGGCAGGGAGCGGGGGGAACCGGCCGAGAGCACGCGTGTCCCGGGGCGCTGAGCGGCACCGCGGGGGGACCGAGCTGGGTCCCACCGGCCGGGCGGGCTGCTCCACGGCAGGAGCTGTGTGGCAATGAGTAACAGAATCTCAGCGCCGCTGAGATGTGTGAGCTACAGGTAGAGTAGGCAACAGGTGATGTCCATTTGCTTTTTGTGTTGCCTATAGTTGTAAGGACAGTCTGTTCCTTGAGACGGTGTGGTTGTGCTGCTGTTCGCATTAGGTGCATAGTATTACATACATGATTACAAAACGCTTTATGTAAGTACAGTTTCATGCAAATAGGGTGAGCAGCATGGTAACAGTCAAGCTGACGCTTTACATTTGACTTTTCACAATAGGGTAAGCATTTTCATAAAGGGACAGCATTTCTCTGTGTACCACAGGAGCTTAAAAAGGCCTCCAAGGAGGTCTCAGGTACTTAGAAACTACAGTGCTTCGCAAGTGTATTCCAGTGAAAACGTAGCTTGGCTGAGACAGTGCGTTGATTCAGATCAAAGAAACAGATTCGTTAAGTATGGAAAAGACCTCTGGGATCCTTAAGTCCAACTGTTTCATCCGTATGTCCAATCTAAAACTACCCTCTTGCAGTTTCAAACCACTGCCTTTCATCCTATCACCACATGCCCTGATAAGAAGTCTTTCTCCATCTTCCTTGTAACCTCTCATCTTTCTTTTCCAAATGCAAGACTTTGAGATTTATTATCTTGGACATCTGAGATTGAATAACTATCATGAGTAAAGGGAAAGAAGTGGGAATTCTCTAATGATTCTAGTGGTAAGAGTATCTGTCAAGTCAGAAGTGAAAACCTGATTAGTATGGTGAGAAAACCTTCCAAGTTGCCAGTATTGTTTCAGCCACAGTGTGATTGGTGTTAGGGAGAGTGCCCACATTGTTGCACTATAACATCAAGTTCCTTCTTGCTTATGCTTGCAAGTGTTTGAGTGCTTTTATGATCTTTCTGTTTTCCCTTTGTCTTTGAAACTTGCATTATTTCTGCAGAGTGAGGAAGTTTCACTGAAGGACTGGACTGTGTCCTTGCTCCATACAAAGCTAGATGTTAGTCTTGTGATGACGACACTGTTCTGAGGTGTGGAGTCCTGATTCTGGACTGTGGAGGTTGCTCACCTCACTGGTAGCACATAGAGGAAAAGAGATGGCCTTTGGCCTGGAGTAGAAGAAAAGAAGTCTACCAAACTTTCAGGTTTTGGTGAGGTTTTGGACATTTCAAGTGTGTATTTCAAGGCAGAAGGAAGGTATTGTAGTTGGGTGTCATAAATGTCAAACACTGCAGTGTGTCATAAATGTCTTTCACCACAGTGAAAGAGGATGGTCTGTCCCGTGAAGAAGTGGTTTGGCTTGATGTAGTTCAGAAGGCAAAGGAATGGAAAGCAGGTTTTTGCCTTTTGTGCACTCCTTCAGATTTGACAAGTTTTTTTGTTTCATTTGTAATTCAAAGACTGCATGCTTTTGCTGGAATTTTTATTTGTCCATTGGTGGGACTTGTTATAGATTCCCTATATATGTTTTAGCAAACAAATTCTGTCAGTGAAAATCCAAGTAATTTTTACTTTTACAGTTTGCTGTTACTCATTTTGAATTTCCACAGAGAGGCATTAAAGAGGTAGCATATTCTTGGCATAATACCTTCTCTGCTTTTTCTTCCTCTAGTCATGAGATTAAAGTATGTAACAACACAGTTTACTTGATAAACTTACTTGAGCCTCTCCCTGAACAATACGCTCTTTACAGTAATAAGCTTTTCTAGTAAACTGAGATGTTGATGGAGTTTAGTCTCAAAGTATGAGGACAGAATGAAGTGGGGAAAGTGATTGGCAGTAGAGTTCTGGATGTTTCTTCTACTTCAGCCGTTTATTATGACCAGGAAGTGTTTGGCTTAGATACAGACTGATAAACAGTTTTCTTTTTCCTGGGTTCATACCACACCCTTATTTCTCTAACATCTTTACAGTATTAGAATATTCTTTACTGCATTAAAAAAAAATCTTTTACTGCATTAAAAAAAAAAATCACCCCTCAAAGAATAAGGAAATGAGCAAGTTACCATGGGATGAGGTATATTTGTTGTGGTTTAAAAGCAAGAAGATTAGTGGTAGCCAGTAGAACAAGTAAATTATCACTAGTCTAGATCAACTGTAGTGTTTTCCATAGGGTTGCTATGGTTGGCCTGTGTTAAAAGGAACGTCATGTTCTTAGCAAGGCCTTGTGTAATAGCTGGCATGAGTGTCCTGTAGACACTGTATTATAACATTACCACATCATAATTACCAGATAATCAGGTGTTTCTGAAAAGGAATTTTTGTCTCCAGTTTTGATTGCATGGCCTAGAATTCCTCTATAAGGATGGTGGATTATTGGAATGTTAAACTGGATTGTCTTACTGCATTCCACATTCAGTTACATCCCTATAGTGCAAGTTTTAAAGTGCTTAAATATTCATTATGTTAACTTTGCTGTTCAGTGCTTGACAAGCTAAGGAGTCAATTAACACCCGTATTATTTTTTGTGATGTTGTTGTATTACTCTAAAGGGCTTTTACTTATTCTTTTGGTTATGGATGAAGTTGGATGCAGAAAGTGCTGGTATTGGAAGTAATGCTGCTGCTATTTTGTGTCCTGTGTAAAAAGGGTCTGTCTGCTTTCCTGCTTGAACTGGTGCCTTAAATTTAACCCCTGCTGTGGGGTGAGACTGGAATATTGTTGGTTGCTGGCAAAGAAGGTCTTTTTTAAGTAGAACTGACTTTTTTAAAAGTAGAACCAAAGCTACATTGCCTTTGCTTGCAGAACTCTGCCTTCTGACACTTGGAGCTTTGTTTGTGAGGGGATGAGGGTGTTTCTTCTTAGACTTCTTTCTGTGACGTATGTTTAAAGGACATGGGAAAAGAGAAGGTAGCAATCAAAACCGCAGTTCGGAGGGTGATGGTTTTGCTATCTCTTGCTGGAATTTCTTGCGGCCCCAGGCTGCTTTTGTGTGGCGGAGAAGACCAGAATGAAAGGGTGGGATGATCCGAGTGTCTGTAGCGAGTGGCGATCTCTGCAGTGGCTGTGGGCGCGTTCTGCGGCGCTGCCGGCAGCCAGCCCTGTGTAGTAGGCAGGCAGCGAGCACATGGGACCCCGCATGCCTGGGTGTCCATGCCGGGATCGGCTGCTCTGCTAAGTGGCTTAGCACATCCCCGGGCACGCTCCTGCAGCCTGCTCGTACTCCGCCTGCCAGCGCTGCCGGGACACGGGCAGGCTCTGGGCCTCTGCTCTGTGGCTCTGGGGCTACCTACCAGGGTGGATGGGTCTCTGTCTGAATGGCTGCACCAGTGCGGAATCCTCTTTCTTGGCCCTCTGTCCCTCGTGAGGAGTTACCAAGGGACAGCAGTCATTCACTGAGCTTCTTGTGAGCTGCCCAGGCAGTGCTTCTGAAGTGCACGTTTCTCCTGCTTATCCGCATATGAAAGGGGGGTTAGGAGAATTTGTGTGTATGAAAGCTTTTGTGAAGTCAAGAATTTTTTGTACGGATGTTCTCAGCTGCTGGTGATCTGCTGTTGAAGTAGAGTGTAGTAGTCCTGGAGGAGCCTTATGAGTTCTCTGGTGTTTTTTGGTAGTCCAATTTAGGCAACTTTGCTCGTAGAACACAATCAGAAGTGACGTTAAATTTACCTTCCTCAACATATATAAACATGGAATATCATTTTAATTCTTCTTTAATTTTCTCCCAATAGGAAGGAAAATTTTATTGAGGATGCTGAAGGGGTAGTGACTCAACATGCTGTTTACATGAGTGGACTGAAATACACAGAAAGCATTTCTTGGGGCAGGAGGATGAGGAGATTCTACAGATGGTGTGAGCAGGCTGCAGAAGTTCAGTACAAGCAGTACTGGTGTTGATCCTGACAGGATTTGGTGCTGGGAAAGAAACTTCATCTGCATGCCAAAATGTCTGGGAAAGACTTTAGTTTTGCTTCCACCTGTTTTTGAGCATACCATGGTAATTCTTAACACTTGATTTTCCTTATAGGTAGAATAGAGATGGACAGAGATTTCTTTGTATAGATGGCTTTTTTTTAAAGTAGAACTGACTTTTAAAAAGTAGAACCAAAGCTACATGGCCTTTCTAATCTTCTGTCCTGAAACAGAGGCAATTCACTGTTAAATAACAGCTGCAATTTATTGTAATTGAAGCTTAGGGAGACAAGATGAAGTGGTGAGGATGTCTAGTACTTGTCTTTTTTCTTGGTTTCACTTCCTAGCCTCCTTATTCCTTGCAGCTTTTGTATCTTAGTACAGTTTTTGTGCTTGACCCTATTACATGTTCTTTTATGTTTCTGCTTAGTTTCTTTAATTGTACAAAGATCTTCCGTGTATAAAAGCACTTACTTGATTTCAGTTACATCTCTGCCATGGTTCTCCTGTGACTTGAGCTCTTATTTCAGTACAAATACATCCAACTCCTAGGACAGGTACATGGTGTTTGTTAGCTTGCTGCACTTTTTGGAGTGGATTATTGATGCGATGGGGACAAGAATTTATTTGGCACAGCATCTTCCAGAAGGGGACTTTGATTCTGGCTGAAATTTTGAACAGGCTGTGAACCACAGCAATGTCTGAAGAGCAGCATTAACCTGGAACTACAGTAAATGTGGTGAAAGTATGTCCTTTTTCTTAAAGGAGTAGTAGATATGCTACTGCTTAATGGGGATGTCAACAAATACTAAAGGTGATGTATGGTATTGAGATACTTTTAAATCTAGTTTCACCTATAATAAAGGTGAAATACATGGCTGCATGGGGGAAAATCATATTTTTTCTATCTTTTGTGTGACAACACTTGGCAACCTCAAATGTATAATTTTTTCTTATTTTTTTCAAAAGGAGAATTGACATGCAAATTTAGAGTTCTGATTATTGATGTTGTGCTTAATTGTAGCTCCAGTTCCACTTCGGAAGACAATGACATTTTCTGGTTACAAAGAAAATAAGGTGTTTTTTAAAATTCGCTCTGCATACAAATAATGTTGCATACCTTTAAGAAGGCACCTTTTGTTAAGACTGGAAGCTGGAAAAAAGAATGTCTAGAAATCAGCATGGAGCATGTGAAGGAGATGGTGTTTAGTGTCTTTAGAAGATGTCTCAGCCCATGCTGCTTTTTTTTTTTAATAGCAAATACCCAACATGTTGGCAATTGAACTTGGCTCTGGGCCAAGTCTCTTATTCAAGGTGAAAGAACAAATTTGAGAGACAGTTTCTATTTGTTCTCAGGGATGATCTGTTCAAATTCACTATGGAGTTTTGAGCACAGGTGGGAGGTTTAACAGCACAAGGAATACCTACCTGAAAGGGTAAAATGAGCTTTATTTCTGGTCTGGCAGAAATGAGAATTTGGGGTGGTTTCTTACATTTATAAAGGGAACAGACTTCAGTGGGTAATTATTCTGGGCTTTGCTCAAGGAATCAATTTAGAAGTTAGGTTACAATAATAAATACTTTTATCAGTAAAATTTGGTGTCATTTCCTCTCATCTTGTATTTGTAGTCTTTATAATTGTTCTTCACCTGTGGAAGACATATCTTGCATGGTTTGACTTCTATTGCATTATGAAATGGATTTGATTTATCCTTTATAATAAATTTTTACCTTGCTTACAAAACCTGATATTTTTTTCTTTTTTTTTTTTTAATAGGAATATATTGATGACACTTTGAGATTTGGAAAGACCATGATTAATACATTCATTGAGGTGAGTGTTTTATGCTGCACCCATAAAAGTGATTTGTGATATCAGTTGTCTCTTAATGACTCTGAATCTGGGGGGGTGGAAGGTGTCTCTGTGATTTTGTTACTGCTCTTTTGTGTACTTCCTTTGAAATGTAGTGTCAGAATGCCAAAAATAGGGATCTTCAGGGCTTTACATTTCCAAAGACCTGTTGCACAAATCATGAAGTACATGGAAATGCTGTGTCTTCTCTAAATCTTTATGAAACTGGAATTTAGTGCAGCGTCAGCATCAAGTGCTGCATCTGCAGTGTTTGCTGTGTAGGTGTTTATTGATAGCTTCCATTTTTTGGATTGCTCTTGCAGGTGGTAAGGAACTTTGAATTATGAGGAAAATTTTGGGGTCCAGAAAACCAAGTACCTACTGTTACTTAGATAATCAGGATGATAGCTCAGGAAGAAAAGGGAAAATATTATGCTCCTAAACTTAAATTTAAAAAAGCAAATTATAGCTTCCAACAGTATTTTTTGGTCAGTCGTGCTCTGCTTTAAAAATAAAGTTGATTGCTATTGGAGCAAAAAAGGGAAACATAATTAAAGAAGTTTGGTGGAGGAATGTAATCTGTGATGTGAAGAAAATTTATAATGTGCTTTCATTAAATGTGATCTGATGGTGCCATAGTACTGGCCCTAGACAGGAAACACAGCTGATCTGGATAGCACTGTAATATTGCAATACAGATGGAATTGTAACTGAGATTTTGGGGATTAACACTACAATGTCTGTTTAGTCTAAATAATTGAGAAAAAACCCCAAACAGTCCTTTTTTTCTATGGCTGGAAAATGTGATCTGAATAGGTTCTAACAGCTGACTCTTCTCAATGCTGCAGGTGTGACTTCAGTTCTCTGCAGAAAGTGAACCTGGTTCAGTTTGGTTTGCCTCCCGTATCACAGGTGTGTTCCTACAGCAGGGTTTTCACTCCTTTATAGTATTTGAAGTCTTCTGTGCTTAGAATAGAGATATGTCAGTATGGAAGAAAATGAGGAAATGTCACAAGTTCTGTGTTCTTTGGGAGCTGAACAAATTAGACTTCCTTCTGTGGAAAACACTTTAGTGGAGATGCTATCTGTAGATGAACTCTTGTAGTGTTTTGGGACTTGGGCATACTCAATCACCTGTGCATTTCCTCTGAAAAATAAAAGAAAACAGGTAAAATTGGCTGCCTCTAATTCTGTTCAGATTGTTTAAATACAAGCCATTCAAACCAGGCATTTTGTTTCAGATAAAAATCCTGTTGGTGTAGATTTGTCTAACTTGCCATTAAATTGTAAAAAGGCTTATCATGATAATTTTTAGTAGTTTACAAGGACTATTCTTTCTTAATGTTTTAATGTCTTCTTAAATGTGTTAAATACATGAAACCAATATGATGCACAATTAAAATGGTACATGCTGCCACTGTGAGTATATCTTCAAACTTAGACTTTTGAAAACCTTTTTAACTTTTTTTAATTGAAATTTTACAGGGAATCGAGTTAGTGTAAAGGAATTGCAAGAGCTGTCTTTAAACAAAGATTTAACTGGTGCTGAAAGACATTCCAGAAATGACCAGAAATACCATTTCCAATGTTCAGGCTAAAAACTGTGAAATCTGCAAGCAGTTCTGGCTACGGCAATTTCTAATGCTTCTTGTGGCCAGAGATAAAGCCTATAATTTAAATCCTGTATTATCAGTTTATGATAAAAACAGAAGCAAAACATTTAAAGAACCAGTGCATACGATTTATATCATGAGTATTTTAGAACTTGTACTGGCTTCATGTCATGCAGGACGGAATGTTGTGAATAAATTCTTCCTTTAGTCTGGCCAACACAAGTGTACTTTCAACAGTTGGTAGGCGTGCAGCATGTTAAATTAAGGCATGTTAGCATGGGCTGCCTTCCAGAGTGGTTAGCTTGGGATTTGAACACTGTTCCAAACATTTCTTCTGCGTATTCAGATGAAGCACTTAGAATGATGTAACTGTCTGCCACACAAATGTTGGTCTTCTGAACTTCTGATTTTTATTCTACCATTTATTTGTGCCACACAGCAGTGGCGTGCACCAACAGACTTAGTTTCCTAGATTTCCTAGAAGAACTTTCAGTTATTTTGTTTTTCATCAAAATTCCCAGCATCTCTCTTGAGAAACTTTTTTTAGGAAGAATAATAATGTTAATAGGCTTTGTTAGTACAGACTTCTGACCATAAAGAAACACTTTTTTACTGTGAGAGGGAGTGAGCACTGGAACAGATTGCCCAGAGAGACCATGGAATATCCATTTTTGAAGATAGCCAAAAGTCATCTCTTGGTGGTCCTGAGCAGCCTGCTCCAAGGTGACTCTGCCTGAGCAGGGAGTTGGACAAGGTTCCTCCAGAAGGCTCTTTTGATCTCAATCATTATGTGAACTGAAATTTTATAACTGCCTGGTAAAATCTTTAATGCTCTTACCAATCCCACTGGGACAGAGAGACATAAAATTATATTGCAACCAAAACTTGATGAGCACTTGGAGCTCCTGCTGACCACATCAGGCATTTGGCTCTGTGCCCTTTTGGGAGGCCAGCCCTGTGCTCCCAGTGGCTGTGTCAACCCATGCAGACTGTACACAGTGTGGTACCACTCTGATTGTGAATCCTAAGGGTTATTTTGTCTAGTGCAAAACATGTTATTAGTTTAAAACTCTTTAAGACCTTATTTCAGAGCAAAAGTGTTTAAAATGCAAATTTGTGTCTTCTTCCTCTGCTGTATGACAGTTTCATGTTTAACCACCATTTATCTGCATAGGAGTGACATAGCTGTGAGCATCTCTCTGGTATCTGTTTGAAGAGGACACTGTTGGGGGGCCCAGGTATTTCTTTTATATTTTATAGTTATAGAGGTGTCCGGACTCTGTAATGGTCAAAGATTTCCAGTAGAAGAGGATGAGACAAGAATTAAATGCATGTGGGAGACTCTGGACCTAGGCACTTCATGCTTTTGATGCTAGCTGGGAGGGAGCTTGATAAACACTTATTGCCACCTTTTCGTAGAAAAAACAGGTAAGAAACATAATTATTATGATTCATAGTAGAATCTGCTAGTAGAAAGATGCTTCCCCTTCTGCTCCTCTAGAGCTTATGCAGAAAATATATTGTTCTATGTTGTTATCTTTAAACTGGGGTTTCAGTTATATATATGTACTCATTCAGAATAATATTTTGGATATAAATGGGGAGTTACCTTATTTGAACCTAAAACATTTTTTAGCCTTAAATCATAGCTATTCCTAAATTCAGGTTTGAGTTTTTTTCAGTGAGGAAACAATCTGGTTGGAAGCATCTTCACTGTGGAGGCCAGGGCCCTGATCTGATGCTGACTTTTTCCTGTGTAGCTGCTGCTATAAATTCAGGGTGGCACTCAGATGGTTCTGGAACAAGGCTGTGTCTTGATCAGTTCCCTTTGTAAAGTGGCAGCTGAAAGCAGTGGTTAATGAAGATGACCCTTATAATGAAAATAAGAGTCTTGTGTTCAAGATTTTCTTGAGCTGAAAGGCAAATCCTGATCAAAAAGTTGCAAAATGAATATTGTGAAATTCAAATTTTATGGGAGCCTTTGTGGTCTACCAGATGTTGGTAATTTTATTGACACTGCCATCTCATTGCTTCTTTAGAAAAAGAGCAAAACTTGTTCATGATTACTTGGAGTGAGTTAAGTAATCTAGTAAAAAAGTTCCCTTTCTTTTTTTTACTAAAAAGATCTTGCAAGAAATTATTGAGCATCTTTGTTATTGTTTCCTATAATCTGAGAATATTGACATCTTTTCTTTCCCCCCTTCCTAGAAAAGTCCTAGTGAAGGTATTCTGTTAGTTGTTCTTGCCAGGAAAACACGAAGCTCTCAGTGTTGAAGTTGCATAGTTGAACAAGTCACTTCTTAGATTATTGCTTGTTTTCCAACATTTTCTCTTAATGTTTTTCACTACCAAGCATTTAATTATTGTCTAATTGCACAGAGAGAATGCATTCATTGTAGATGTTAATTTTCAATCATATCTAGAGTTGCATGATCTGACTAAACCCTTGCTAGTTATTTGTCATCTAAATAAGAAAACTTTTATCATTTTGCAAAGCAAAAATCCAGAAGACATTTGGAAGTCCTTCTTGTTGACAAGATCTTCAATAAAATTTAATCCTGACCATTAGGAATGTCTCCCACAGGTTCTAGTACAGTTAAGAGTACCTGAATATTTACATGTCTATAGGCATAAAATGTAGTGTGGCTCTTGCTTTTTTGGAAATATTGGGAGCATTGGTAAGTTGCTAGTAGTTGCGAATTTAGACTCAAATCATGAGATGTTTGCCTCTTACTTGGTTCTTTAATTGGATCATTTTGTCTCTGGATTGTTCGTTTCTCATCCTTTATCTGCCAGTACTAAACGTGATAATTTTTGTGTGAAAAGAAATCTGGAAAAATCTGTTCTCTGAATATAATCAGATCTCTGCTGAAACAAGATGTTTGGGTTTAAAGTTACTGTTTCAGAAGAAATCTGCCTCCTTGGTGTTCTACAATCCTTCTTAAGGGTGTTTTTCAAAAACAAGCTCAATTACTTCTTTCAGCATTTGTCCATACATGTTTTGGGGTGGTTTTTTGGTGGTGTTCAAGTTCAGGCTGTTTCCTTTGTCTTACTGCAGAATAAAGGAGCAACTGTAGGTAATGAATAACCAGAAGACCTTTGCTGCATATCTAACCTGGCAAATCAATGCCTGCGTTTGTCCTTAGTGCTCAGTGGAATTATGGTGCCTTTCACACTGCATCAGGGTCTTAGGGAGCTCTAGTCTTTGCCAGAGGCAATAGAATGGGTTTTTGTGAGGCAGTTGCTGTAAAATCAAGCTTAGCTGGTGCCAGTTAATTTTTTTTAAAAGTTTTTATTTATAGAGTCAAAATATACATGCTTTAAAGTTTAGAAGATAGAGCAAAAAATAAAGAAAAACCTGGCTTCTTTCAATGTGAAACCTAAAAGAGCTCTTTGTGTTTCCATGTTGAGATGCTTACTGAACTTGGTATGGGATGTAATTACCTTCCTCAAACTGGTAACAAGAGAGAACCTCAAACCGGGAAAACATGCAAGCTTTTGCCTTCCAGTGTTGTTTGGTTAGTGATTGGGCATTTATTCAAGCATATGAGTGGGATGAATGTGTGCAATTTATTATGTCATTTTCCCTGAGATTGGTTTGAAAGATAATGAATCTCTCTGTGCTGTCTGACCGTCTGTGCTCCTGAAGTGTTCGCGCAGTGCTGGTGTCTGCATGCAGATGTTCCACTTAAAGCTCTTTCTCTGCTCAGAGCGAAGTCTGGCCAGCTGCATCACTTCTTATCTAAATTGCAGAGTATGGTGGAGGGTTATTGCCAGCCTGAGCTTTTTTCACAGTTACTCCTATCTCTTCTAAGAAAATGGCTCCAGAGTTAGGGCAGATATTAACATCACATTATAAATTAAAAAAGCACCAAGATTCCCCCAAAGAGGTAAAGTCTTGTTTTAGAAAGGCTTCCCTTTCTTCAGAAGCTCTTGCAAGTTTATCATAATATTTTTCTTCTTCCTTCCTCTTTACTCTTCCTGTATTCCTTACTCTGGTATGTGCCTCTGGCACTGAGGCTTTTGAGAATTTGAAACTGAAGAAATTTTGTGCAAGACTGACATTAATCTTCCAGTCTTGCCTAAGAAAACCATTCCAGCTCAAGCTGAGCCAGTTCTTTTTGAAAGAGACCTTTAAAGATAACAACCTTGTGTTTTCTGTTTTCTCCATTACTCAAATACTCTTTTTTTTCCTGGTTTGATTGTCTTTAGCGACTACAATTTGGATCACATAATGTAGTTATTAGGTGTGGACAAAGCTGCAGAAGTTCTGGCATGTTGTAGTTAGAACCAGAAGTAACACAACTGAATTGCTTCTTGACACACGTTTCTGCCAGGTATCAAGAGGAAAAAAATCGCCTAGTATCTCCTGAGGGTTGGTATCCATTTCTTCTCTGTTGGTGACTCTCTTAATTTGTACTCATTGCTTAAAATAAAAATGCTTTTCAAAACCCTAAAACCTTGACTGTCATTGAATCAATGAACTCTTGTTTCAGGAGTTACAGGAAATTCCTCAAAAGTTATTGGATAGCATACAGATGTATTTATTTATTTTGGGAAGAATTCTTTCCCACCTAAGGAAACACTGCTGAAGTTTCCTACAAATACCTGGCAGAAGCTAGCCTGGGTGTCATGGAAAGAAGGGAGGAGATGAGACAATAGATGATATTTGGAGGTGGAAAAATTACTCACCAGTGGTTTAACAACTCAGAATTTCAAACCGTAAGACTCTACGTGCTAGCTATGGCACATTTTCATTGCCTCTTAGGCTTCCAAAGATTGCAGAAAATACTTTGGGAAAATAATTTTCCTAGGAAAGGTTGTGTCAAAAAAGTATTTGTGAACAGTTCTCATGGCTGGAAATACTACAGCACATGTAATCCTCTCTGGCATCAGAATTCAGGAGAAGAGGTTTCTTGTGCCTAAAAACTCAAACACAAAATACACACGTCAGAGTAGGAAAGCTGTGGCACAACCATTGTTCTTCCTATAAATAGCACAATTTTACTAATACTGCATTACTGCTATATTGGGCTAATTGCCTTCAGAGAATTTAGGGCTATTCTGAGAGTCTGTCTTTGGTAGTTCATGCTTATAAACCTATCAATAGTGATTTACATAGTTTTCTTTATAGGAGTAAATATAGCAGCCCAAAGTTAGTTTTTTTTTTAGTTTTATATTTTATGAGAGGTCTTTTCTCCTATCTCTAAAGAAAACATATGATTTTGTAACAGATAGTGGTGCTTTGATTGTGGCAGTATTTTTTCTTACGTATCTAAAGCTCTTTATAAGTAGCATTTTGTCAGGAAAACAGGAAGAAACTCCAAAGTTGGGTACAGAATATAGGATGAGAAATTGTAGATCTTGCCTTACATTTGTACACCTCAGGCCTCCTTTAAGGTGATGCTGTGAGTGCCTTTTTTCTTAAAGCTTCATTTGAATGAATCATGATGGGGTTAATTACCTTAACTCTTGGAACTCTCCACAGAGCTTTACAACCTCGGTGTCCTCTGAGAAATAAGAGGATAAATGACCTGTGGGAAATGGTTTTTGAAAGTGGCTGCAGTTACTTCAGCAGACGTGCTCTGATTTACACAGCAGTGGGAAGAGCATCCCCTGGGTGCAAATGGATCAACACATTTATGTGGGAAATGAATTTGTAGAGAATTCTGCAAGATGGTCTTACAAATAAGACTAAATACTTTAGAGAAATAGAACTATGAATGATGCATTGTAGCAGGACTCATGAGAAGTGATTTTAGAGGTTTGGCTCTAAGGCATCTACAGCATGGTGTGACTAAAGCTGATACACTTATAGTGTATTGTAATTAGGAAATAGTTGATTTTGATTGTGATGGTATGAATTATAACACCAGTATTGTTTCACCCTTCACATGAGACTGAAAATGGAATAAAAGTGTTTAAAACCCCTCTCAGTTGCCCCATCTCTGGGTCAGAAAAGGGCTTAATCTGACCCATTTATAGAGCACTCCTCCCCTGTGCAGTACCGGGAGGTTTGTCCATGCAGGAGTTCCTGTGCCATGTTCCATGCTGGCTCTGGGGTGGTTTTGGTCCCTGTCACAGCCAGGCAGGCTGGCTGAGCTCAGCCTGTCCCTGCAGCCCTGGGCCCTGCTGGACAGCCCTGGGCACACACAGTGCCAGAGCCACAAAGCTGCACTCAGTGTCCCCGGGAGGGCAAGGGAAGTGTCAGCTCCTTCTGGCACAGAGATGAAATCAGAGATGAGCTATCTGACCCGGTTAATCATTGGCCACCAGAGAATGTGCCGTTGTGACATAACCCTACAGTTTCATCTCACAGTAAATACTCTTTTATCCCATGCTCTGGTTATGTAATTTTCAAGACAGAAGTGGTTAACCTTAGTCCAGGAAAAAACTGTCAGAACTGCTGAGGGGTAATTCAGTGCCTGGGTATAGTGTTCAATACAGCAGCATCACAGGAGGTCTGTTTTATCTGCATTAAAATACCTGAAGGGAATACCTGCAGAAGGAAAAAGTATATTTTACTCTACTGAAGGGCATTTTTTCTGTTATCACCCATAATAATATAATTCACTTGTGAATTATATACACCTATAAGTATTCACCCATAATTCACTTGTGAATGAACTTGTAAGGAAAGAAAATTATTTATATCTTTATACCATTACTGATAGCGTAAGTGTCCTTAAACTGTACTTTTAAATGAAAGCAGCTATCTTGCATATTATTTTGACCAAATGAGAAGCCAAGTAGTGTTTTCTGGAAAATTCAAAATAGATGTAAAATGCCTGGAAAAACATCAATTAGGAGGGTAAGAAAATAGCTGCCATGTGGTGTTGCTTTGAGGGGAGTTGAATCATGGTGTGTTTTAAATTACTGTTGTGAATGTTTTCCATTACAGTCTTTGCTTAAATACCTAAATATTTATTTATTTGTGTTTAAGACAAAACTGCTGCAGTTAATATTAACAAAACTTGGTTGTTAATTTCTTTTATTCACTGTTATTCCAGTCCAAGCTTTATTAGTTAATTGTAATCTTGAATATTTTAAAGGAATAAAGAGGAGGGAATATATGTGGTTGTCTTGTCTTGAAAACAACAGAGATTCTCAACAAAGAATCTTAGTTCATAGTTCTACACTGTTGTTGTCTATGAGTTGCTGAAATGGATGAGGATGTGAGTCAGATTAAATATGATCTTTTGAAAAGAGAAATAAAGTTGAAGTGCTCTCCGGTGCTTCTCTTTTGATGGTAGTTCAGTATGGTCTGCCCTTGATTCACCTTTGCATGCACTCTGATTTTTGAGCCTGGTGCATCAGAATTTGTTTTAAAAGCCAGGGATATGGTGGTTTTTTTTTGTTTTGTTTTTTTTTTTTTTTTTGTTTTAACCTTACTTTTCCAAGCAATTTTTATCATAACCCCCAAATTAGTGGTAATCAGTAGATAAAATTATTCTCAGGGTCATTAATGCCTCAGAATTTTTGGTGGTGGTGATTAGGTGTGTTTGTGTGTTTGTTCCTGCTGTATGTTCTGTCTGCTCACCTACATGGGTTCTGTATAAAGAAAGACATGAAGAGTACAGTAGTGTTCCTTCCCAGCTGATGTTCAAAAAAACAAACCCCAATATAAAACAGAAGACCAACCCAAATTACCTCCAAACCAAATAAGAAATGCTCTGATGTCGGAATAGTTTTTTCCTTTATCAAGGTAAACTGAATGGCAGTGGAATGGTTTCACTGATAATCATAATAGCTATTATCCAAATCTAGGCAGCAATACTGACAAGTATTAAGCAAGAAAGTAGAAAACAAGGGAATATGTGTACTTTTCAGGAGTTTTTCCATGTTTATTCAACTTACTTTCTTATGTGTGGGTTTTTACTAAGAAATAAATACCTTTTTCGTGATCAAACACTGAGATTTTCAATTTAACTGAAACATTTCACCATTCAAATGCTGAATATATTAACCATGCATGTCATTTTTTGCTTTCTTCAGTCAGTTCAAATTCCAGTTTGTCAGCAAGGCAAACAAGAAAATTGGTTTTTTTTTTCTTCCTTCCCTTCCTCCTCAGATTTGTGCATCTGTACTTCCAAACAGAGTTTACACAGAGGGAAAATTGAATATGGCTTGATTTGCTCTTGGTCTTGGCAGTGTTTCTGATGAGTGTCCCACGGACTCTGTCAAGTTCTGGGGGTTCTCCTCTGGCACTGAGGAGCAGAACCCTGAGCAGCAGCCTGGCATCAGTGGAAACCTTTCTCTGTCGTTCTCCTTAAAAGAGCAGCTCAAGATGAGTGACTATTCTGGACTTCCAAGTGACCACAGCCAGATGATTGCTGAAGACTCAGAAATTCAAGCAAAGCCTGAACACTCTCATGAAGTTCTTCAGGAAGATATTGAAATGAGCAGTGGCTCCAGTGGAAATGATTCCAGTGGAAATGACTCCAGTGGGAATGACACAAATGAAAACTATTCAAGTGGGCATGATTCTCATGGTCATGAATCTGATGAAAATGGGAAGGATTCAGCAATGCTCATGGAATCTTCAGATTGTCATAAAAGGTAGTAGCTATTCTTAAATACATTTCACTTTTATTTTTGCCCCTAAAGACTTTTTACATTTGAATCAATATTTCTGAATAATAACTAAGGCATAAAGCATTTTCACCAGGGAGCTGAGCGTGCTACTTAAGTTGTACCCTCATGTGGTGTAAATTATGTAGTGTAATTCTTAAAGGTCTCTGGTGTTGGTGTTTGCATTGCCAGCATAATTTGTGTCTTTCTTCTCATCATTGGGTGTTTAACTTGCCTTATTTATTTTCTTGTAAACCAACTTCTTGTAACCAACTTCTTTTTTTTTAATTTTCGTTATTCTAGTTCAAGCTCAAATGCGTTTAGTCTGATGATTGCAAACTCTGAACACAATCAGTCCAGCAGTGGATGCAGGTAAATTAATGAGCATATATTTTTCAGTAATATCCTAAATGCTGAAAACTAAATAATGTCATATTTTGGGTTTTTGTTTTGTTTTGCCTCAACCTGGATGACTACACAAGAAATCCTGTCTTTGATTTCTTCCTGTCCATAATCAGTAGCATCTCATATTAACCACTTGATTAAATTAGAGCTTTTTGTTGCTGTTCCATGCGAATTGTGTGGTAACCTTTGAAGTCATGTTACTTTGTTTTGATTTGGTAGCTTAACTCTGTAATTTTGGTTTTTTGTGGGTCCCTTTGAATATTGCTTTAGTTAAGGTGGGGTTTTGTAGCTCTGAATTTTTTTGCTCTTCAGAATTTAGTCTGAACCTGGTGGTGTGTTAACATCAGGATTCATCATTGATCTGGGTTATTCCTGGTGTCCAGCAGCTGTATCACCTGCCTCTCCTGTGTTCCATTTGCTGGGATTCAAGGCCCCAGGGTGTAAGGATAAATGATACACAAACCCCAGCTGCAGGAATGAATCCCTCTGTATGAACTCTGCTTTTGTCCCTGATAGCCTTGAAGAGCCTGGTAGCTTGAAGGCTCATATTTAGACACTTCAGAGTACCCTACTGGGGTTTGCATTCAGTATCCGTGCCAACCAACAGCTCTAGTTTAATATCTGTAGGTACCTTTCCAGTTTGCTGTCTACAAAAAGCAAAATGAAAAGCTCCTATCTTTATAAACTTGCTTATTCTGTCCTCTGCAAGTCACACCTTCCCTGTGGCTGCCTGCTGTGCCTGATGCTACTGCTCTCTAGAAAAACATTCTGGAGTTGTGTAACTTATTTTCCAAGAATGTCCATCTTCTGTATTTGCTGCTGCTGTTGGCTAATTTGGAAAGGTTTTTTTTTCTTGCAGAAGAATCTGACCACTCTCATGAAGCAGTACTCTGGCAGTACAAACCAGCAGTATGCTCAGTTATTTCATAATCTTCCCTCTCTCTCTTTTTCCCTACTGCCAGCATGAAGGGTTCTTCTATGAAACTGTTAACAAAGCCCTGTTTGATTGCAGCAGTCCAAGCTGTCAAGCCACATTGTACACGTGATTTTAATACACAGCATGAACATAATGTTTCCCAAGGGAGTCCTACAGTCTTTTGTTTGATCCCTTGCCATTATTTCTTAGTACAAAATGACCAGTGAGTAAATGAACGCTGCGTGTCTCACAGTGCATTGTGATGGAACCAAGAACAATGTGTATTCTCTAGTACAGCTTTGTCACTTTGCAAGCATTTTTGGTGAAATACACCCAACACCTGTCAGATCATTTATCTACCTTTTCAAGCTCTTAAAACTTCTCAGAAAAATGTTCACAAATCCTCTTGAAAATTACTTGGCAGCTGAAGCCGCTTTTCTGGCCGCTTCAGTCAGGCAGTGCAGTTGCCAGGACTATTGTTTCCACAGCAGTGCCAAGGGTAACTTCTTACAGATTATCAGCCATGACAATCAGGTGTTAAGAGAAGACCTTCCTTTGGAAGGGAGAAAATTTTCAGGAGGATTTAAGAGCAGCTCTATAATCCTCTTGATCATTGTGGAAGATCAGCTTTTAAAATCTCCAATATGAAAGGCAAGGCAAACTCCTTCCTACCAATCTGCCATCCATCTTTGCTACCCTCTCCCTCACTTCCCTCTCCTCCTTTTCTCTTCCTTTGTGACTGTATCAGCACCTCTCAATAATGGGGAGAGGTCCCAGGAACTGAAAAGGAAGGTGATAACTTTCTGATACTGGCAATGATAGTCTCTGTAGTTTGTCATTCTTCACTGAGACAGCTCTTCTGAGCATGCACCTGAGACCTGTGAATGCAGCTTCTGTCTCCAGCCTCCTCTGATTCTTTTTCTTACAAATTTAGTCAGAGTTTCCTCGTCTTATGTAGTGTGTTGACATGCTTAGGTGGGATACAGTATTCAAAGGATTTCTCCATTTGTTTTGTTAACTTGATGCTCTCCCACTGCCATTCCCTTTTCAGGGACCTTTCTTAAGAGAACCTGATTGAACAGGAGGTGAAGACTTGAATGGACCTCCTGCTTCTCTCCTTTGAAGTCTATGAGCATTTTTGAGTTTGATTTTGAAAGGGGCTAAAGAAAATACCACTAAAAAGGGAGGAGGGGGACTGTGGCAAAAAAAAAAAATTCTGTGGTGCTTGGGCATATGTACTATTGCACAGACAGAGTCCATTTTACAATTACATTCCAGGTGGTGGTAAATCTTTCATTTTAAATGGTCATGTAAGAATTTCTTTAAGTTCTGGAACGGATACTGAGTGAGTACTGGCAAAGTTAATGAGGCTAGTGATAGAAATTGATGTGGGTGACAAGTGCCAGAGTACGTTTGGGCTTCTCTGAGGATGATGTGTCACATCAAGCATTCAAGTGATGTTGTGTTTTTTGTTTTTCGTCTTACAGTAGTGAGCAGTCCACTAAAGCCAAAACACAAAAGGAATTGCTGAAAACACTGCAGGAGCTGAAAGCTCACCTTCCTTCTGAGAAGAGAGTCAAAGGAAAATCCAGTGTCCTAACGACGTTGAAATATGCCCTTAAAAGCATTAAACAAGTTAAAGGTAATGAAGTGTGATACTGCCTAGATAATGCCAACCTGGCTAAAGTGAAACTTTCAGAATAGGAGTTTAAATAAACATAGCTCTACAAAGAGAACTGTACTATGGCTGAAAACCTTCCTAACCAGATATTTTCATGTTGTTCCTATTTGTTGGCTTTGTTAACTTTTGTTCCTTTGGGAGTTGAAGCAGCTCTCTAGAGGATTGATGTTTTACTGCTGTTTGGTTGAGTTAGAAAATCGATTTGAAAACAATTTACAGTTTCATACTGTTTGAACTGTCAGACTACAATATATGACCATTCATATATGGGTAGATTAAGAGATGTACTTTTGTTTGAGTTACTGATGAGGAAGCTCTACCAGGGAAAATGATGTATTTGGAAGAGTGCCTAGATTTCCCAACTGCCAACTTCACAACTTGTGCATTTATGCCAAAAAATATTTTTGCCATTTACTCCTTCTGGGCTGGGTGTTTATTGATAATCCTGATTATAAATTGTTTGTTGTTCTCATGTAGCCAATGAGGAATATTACCAGTTGTTGATGATTAATGAATCCCAACCTGCTGGTCTCAATGTATCATCTTACACAGTGGAAGAAGTGGAGACTATAACCTCAGAATACATCGTGAAAAATGCGGTGAGTGTGGTGCCCTGAGTCTCAGAGTGTATTGAAAATGTTTCCTGGAACTGGAATTCTTAGCCATGCCTCCTTCTTATAAGGGAAGGGTTGGTAGCTAGGCCACGAAGCCTTTTGCCTTCCAGGGCATGTTGAGAACCTCTGAGCCTTTTTAGACTTTGCTAATGTGTTTCTGTTGTTAGGTGGGATATAAGTAGGCTTGAACTCAGTTATCTTCTGAATGGTACCTTGTGCCTGGAGGTGTTGGTGTGACACGTCTGTGTCCATGTGATGCAGAGCCCTGAGAGACACCATTAGGTTTCATTGCAATGCACTTGCAAAAGTTCGAGAGTTAACTTTTTCCAAATTTTGGTCGAGGCACATGGTGAATCACTTCAGCTTATTTGTATAACTAGGGGTTATTTGATGTTTCACCAGTTTTGTGTTAGTGTGACTGAAGAGTGACAAAAGTACTGGAATCACTGTGTCCTTTTCTGTGGGATTTGTCTGGTCTTTGCAACCAGTACAGGCTTTCTGTGGGGTCCAGTGGTGCTGTGTTCTCATAGAGACAAGAACAGCTAGGACCATCACTGGAGTTCTAGCACTGAAATGATAACCTGGCTTTTTAAATTATATTTATTTCCATATTACTAGTATTTTAGGAATAAGTTATGGAGTCTTCAAAAAATAATGGCATCTAAATGTATTAGACTACCTTCTACTATTTTGTTGAGCTGCAACCTCTGTTTGAATGTATGAAGTCTGAGCTCTCTAAAACAAGACCATGGTGGGGGATGTTCCATAGCTTGAAGTAGGTGGGTTTTGTTGAATCTGTGAATAGTAAAGGCTGCCCACAAGTTGAAATAAATGGAAAGTGTAGAGTACAACTGAGAAATTCAGCCAAATATCATAAACATTGTTCAATTAATGTGAATATCTGTTTGTGAAAGCAGTGTTCTGCTGGCAGCTCTTCAGTTCCTGTGCAGTGTTTGTGAATGCAGCACTAGAGGTTGTGACGCAGGGAGCTCCTCTGTGGCAGGAAGAGAAACAATACAAGTGTGTGGGACTTCTTCCCACCTGTGTACTCATTATTTTTTACCAAGTGGTTTAGAGCCCTTTTTTCACTTTTTGTGGATGGACCAGCTAACACAAACAGCCTTTCAAAAACCCCTGAATTTCATACATGTAAATCGTGTCTGTAACAAGCACAGGGAAAATGTGAAGTTATGTAGCTAGAAGGTCATTAATTCTTAATTTATAAATTCATTCTGCATCACAGAACTGTAGACCATGATATTTAGAGCTTGTAACCCAGTAAACAGTAGTGTATTATTCTTACTACATAATTGAAAAATATTCTGTGTCTACTTGATGAGCAGATTCATTGTGTTGAACAACATCTGTAATGCAATTAAATGTCCTTAATTCTCATTTTGAACTTACTAATGTTTTTATATCTTAAATGTTTTTCTCAGAAATATATGCTGCACTGAAGAATGTTTCAAACGGTCTAAATAATTTGAGATTTTTGTCTTTAGGATATGTTTGCTGTAGCTGTTTCTTTGATAACTGGGAAAATTTTATACATCTCTGATCAAGCTGCTTCTATTCTCCGCTGCAAGAGGGGCTATTTTAAAAATGCCAAATTTGTGGAGTTCTTGGCACCTCAGGATGTCAGTGTGTTTTATACTTCTACCACCCCATACAGATTACCATCATGGAACATTTGCAATAGAGCTGGTGAGTGGGCTCAACAGCAGATACTTCTCTGACCTTCTTGCAGTCATGTAAATGCAAATACTTGAACTGGTTTTGAATGTCCTTCCACCCTTCCCCATCACTTCTTGAGGGTGTAGCACAGGGGCATTATTAGAACACCTCTGAACAGCATGGGGTGTACAAATCTGTTCTATAAATCAGCAAGACTTGTCTCTTGGTTAAAAGTCCTCTCAATGTCATTATTTATCAGTTCTCATTCTCCTTTCAGTCAGATGATGAATGAAAACAAAGTAGGAATTCATGCTGGATGGTGAATTTACTTTCCACTTGTACTAGCAATCAAATGAAAACCATTTTTCTTCACATTTTCTCTTCCTCAAGTGTAAAGGGGACAATACTCTGTCTCCTTCCTTTTAAAATGGTTATGATTTGAATACTGGACACCTTGCTTATGGTGTAGAAAAAGGTATTTCAGCTGTCATCACTGTGCGCTCACCAAGTGTAATCACAGCTCTCTTCTTCTAGCCTTAGAAAAATTATATTAGGCATAATTAATGGTGAAGGATCAGATGTCTCAGGGCACTTGATACTTGTCTGTGGTAGGATTGTTTTACTCATGTACCTGCAACTGTTAGTAATTGAGAAATATCTGCCAACTGTTTCAACTAAACACTTGAAATTCAAGGTCTGCTCTGAATGTTTGAAATTCCAATCCACTGCATACTAAATCTGTGAAGTAAAGCCAGGGTGTGAACCGTACTTAATCTGAAAAAACAATCAGCAGTAAACGCGTGCTAAGCAATGCATACACAAAGCAGGTCAAAAGGGACCTTGTGAGGTCTCCAGTGCAACTTCTGGCTCAAAATAGAGTCAGTGGTAAATTATGTATAATCCTAATTACTCAGTTGGGCAGGAGTTTTTTTGGTTTTGCTTTTTTGAAACATCTTCTTTATTATATTTGTGTACAGCTTCAAATGTAAAAAATGCAGTAAGTAGAAGTGTGCACGCTCTCTCATGTATCAGCTGCCAAACAATAGAATTATCCAAAACATTGTGCACTGGAGGCCCTTTGAAATGCCAGAGCTTCTCTTGGGAATCAGTGTGTGGCTACTCTGGAAAAGGAGAGAAATAAGCTTAAAATGTGAGAAGAGGTCTTCAGGAAAAAGAGAGGAGGGGTGCTAGGAAGTGCATTTGGTGGTCAGATTTGGGGTCCTAGGCAACCAAACATTTTTGGTCATTGGTATAAAGTACTGTGAAAGAGTTGATAAGAGTAAGCAGCTCAAACTGGAGAGCTGTTTAGATATGTTTAAGAAAAAGACTTGGTAAACCAGGAGCTGTGATTCACATGCCAGCCTCAGAATCTGAGTGATGTTCAGATTTAGTTGCTTATGTTTAACCAATTATTGTTTCACCAATACTTATGGAGACTTCAGGGAAAACTTAATCTTAAAAAAAATATATTATCTAAGGAAAAATTGTTATACTAAATATCATCATCTTCTAGTAATTTGTAACTTGTTATGAAATATTCTTAATATTTCCAGAGTCTTCCACCCAGGATTGCATGGAAGAGAAATCTTTTTTCTGTCGTATCAGGTAAGACAATATTGTAAAGCTTAGTGCTGGTTATGAAACCAAGCATTACATAAGTATTTGACTTTTATAAAAACCATATGTTTTGAACATTTCATGCTTTTTCATAATGTGATGGTAAAGTAAAACATATGCACATCCTTGAGTTGATTAACTGTAGCAGCTACAGAGAAAACGGAACTGATTTCGGGAAGTTCCATCTTGGAAATTAATCCCTTTGAGTATTGACCTTTGTGCCATAAAGGAAGGTGGTACAGCATCTCCTCCTGTAGTGGAAAGCCTTTGGGTCGTGTAAATAGAACTGTTCAGCACCTGCTTCAGTCTTCTTCATTCTAAAAAGCCAATAATTCAAATTTGTCTTGGGTATCCCCTAGGAAGATACTCAAGGGTTACTTGACTTGTCTCTTTTGCTGTTAATAGAGGACACAATTCTTTGGTTTGCTTTTCTTCCTTCTTTTTCTGCCCCCCAATCACTTCTCTTTAGTTTTAGGCGGTTTTTTTATTATTTAGGAAAAGCTGGCAAGTTAGTTCATGTTCTTTCTTGTGCAATTTGATTTCTTGATGCTTACTGCCTCTCTGGCATCATTTCTGAAGCAAAAACAGTGGATCCAAGTATTTAATTACTTCTGGAGTAAATAAATACTTGTTATTGAGGTACGAATAAACCTGAAATGGATTGGAGGTAATGCAGAGCTCCAGAGTGTTGCATTGAATGTACTGTAGAAGTACTGCTGGTGTTACTAGAGATTTTTTGTCCAACTAACACTGGTTTCCACAGCTTTACTTTTATTTAGCTCTGCTGTTATAAACTTATTACAACTGATTCTTCTTTGGTCACTGTGTAAATGGTTGTTGTTTTCATTACTGTGTTTGCATTCTGGTTAAGTAAACACCTGTTATTAGATATTGAGTCTTCACTGCTTCTAAACTGGAATAAATATTGATTAAAAGATGACCTTTGTGTTAACTGAGGGGATATAGCAGTCTTCATAAAAAAGCCCTGTAAATTAATCCCTCTGAAGGAGAACAAAGTAACTTAATTTATTGTGTGAGCTGGGTTTTCTATCAGACTTCCATGTAATGCTGTTGTGGCTATTGTTTCAGGCAGTAGAGAGAACAGCACAATCTTTATGGAAGTTGGTATGCAAAGGATACCATCAGATTAGATTCTCTTCCACCAAAAAAAAAAATCAAGCTAAGGTCTTGGGTGCTATTTTAGTAGCTAACCTGCAGTTCTTGTGTCATGAGGGAAATACAATGGATAAATTAAAATTGTATTCAGCGTAAGATGAATCTGCTGAAATAATTAACTCTCTTTAATTATTAGTGCGGGAAAGGAGCGTGAAAATGAGATTTGCTATCACCCATTCCGGATGACTCCCTACCTTATCAAAGTGCAAGATCCAGAAATAGCAGAAGACCAGCTTTGCTGTGTGCTGCTTGCAGAAAAAGTCCATTCTGGTTATGAAGGTAATTCTTGAGTGCACAAAGACTTGCTTGCTTTCCTAAAAGTAAGATGTGTTCAAGCTTCATTAAAATGAAAGAGAATAGTTTCTGTTCTCTGTCCTTGCTGCTTTCCTGCATGCTCTCAGCCAGGATTTTGGAGTGGCAGCTTGGAGTATTATGTGTGTAAAGCCCCCAGTTGCTAATGTGCTTTTGTTTTTCTCTCAGCGCCCAGAATTCCTCCTGACAAAAGGATTTTTACAACTACGCACACACCGACCTGTTTGTTTCAGGATGTAGATGAAAGGTAACTTACAAAAATTCTTTTTAAATTTACTGATGAGCAACCTATCCAATATCTTTGCAGGATTTAAGGTGTCTATATGGGGCTTAAAAATTATGCAACTACTGAAGGGTGTTTAACCTAAGAAAAGCACATCCCCCCGTTTTCACTATGCATGAGAACAACTTACACTGGTATTTAAGTGCCTGCTAACAACTTGTTCTTCCACTTTCCTTCCCTCTTGGGAAATTCTAGACATAAATTCAGTCAATGAACCCATGTTCAAAAGAATTCCTCTGCTGCCAGTTATCACCTGTATGAGACATTTAGGTGTGGGTTTTTTGGTTTTTTAAGTTTGATACAGCAAATATGCTGCTGTTGCTCTCTGCTGGCCTAGGTATAGATAGAGGTACAGCTTTTGAATGCAACATTAGCTCTTCTAAAAAAAAAGGTATATAAAACCAATTCAAATTACACTGGCTGAAGACTTCATATTGCTTTGACAGTCATGAAAGCTGGTAAGAATTCTAAAGAATTCTAATTTCTAAATTAGAAACAAAAATGCCACCTGTGATCTTAATAACTGGCTGAAGACTTCATATTGCTTTGACAGTCATGAAAGCTGGTAAGAGTAAGTATTTACATCCTAAACTAGAAACAAAAATGCCCCCTGTGATCTTAATGTATCTACAAAGACTTGGGAACTGAGGTCGAAACCGAGCTTTCATAGAATCATTTAGCTTGCAAAAGAGCTCTAAGATCATCAAGGGCACTAAGCCCTGTCCCTAAATGCCTTATCTGCACATTTTTAAATACATCTGGGGATGGTGACTGCACCTCTTCCATGGGCAGCCTGTTCCTTGACAACCCTTTCCATGAAGAAATGTTTCCTAGTAGCCAGTCTAAACCTGCCCTGAGGCCAGTTCCTCTTGTCCTGTCACTTACTCCCTGGGAGAATCAACTTTCTCACCCAGTTTGCTGTTGTCTGCAAACTGATGGAGGGTGCTCTCCATCCCCTTGGCCAGATCATGGATAAAGACATTAAACACAATCCTGAACCTTGAGGACTTGACTTGAAAAGAGAATTCACCTATTCCTGAGTTTAAAACACTACCTTTCCCCTTCCTTTTCCATTTTCCTTGATATTTTCTTTCTGATGGTTTCTGATATTTGGGCTGTATATGGCACTTCATTGTGATTTTTTTTTCCTCCTTAGCAAAAACTAAGTTAGCTAAAGTGGTAACATCTGACTGTTGAGGTTCTCCCATTTGTTTTTAAGCATTCCAAGAATGCTAAAATTTTCTTTGGAAATTGAGATGGGGGGATGTCTTCAGACAGAGTAGGAGTATAATGGACAATTTTGAGATTCTGTGGAATTTTTTGAGTGGAACTCTAGTTTCTGAAAAAAATACTTCATTCTTGGCAAAATCCTTAAATGCAGCAGAAGAGAGCGGGATTGGGGAGAGGAGGTTATTGTGATGTTTGACTAAGATGGAGTCAAGGTAAAAAAAGAACACTGCTTGACTTCTGAGACAGTTTTACCTGTAGAGAGGCAGATGTGGCTGAGTTCCTGTAGCATAGATGGTGTAATGCTGACAAACTGTTTTTCCATGCTGTGATTTATACAGTCCCTCTAAACAGCTCAAGTTCATAAAAGTACTTAATCCATTGTAGTTCTGTCTTCTTCATGGATTTTTCTCTCTCCTTCATTTCCACACATGCTTCAAGCCAGCTGCAGAGGGGGTTTATCTTTACAAGGAGGCTGAGGGCACAGTGCAAAGCTTCTGTTCCTCTGTGCATCCACAGCTCAGTGATCTCCAGTAGTCCTTTAACAGAAATGGCAAAATTGCTGAGTGGAGAGCCTTGCCCTTATTCTTGGGCTTGAGTGCAGCAAGTCCAGTAAATCCTGCCTTGTGAATCCTATGGAAGCTTCTTTCCTGTTAGTTTGATGTTACCACTTGTTCTCAAATACCATTTTCTAACACTTTCAGTGAGGGTTGATTGCATCTTGGTCTGAAATAGGACTCTGTGTCATTTATTTCTGTTCTTGTGACTGTATAGTTGATTTTGCTTTTAATTATTTAACTCCTGAGAGCATTGGCAGCCTGATAAATGTTTACCAAGACATGCATATGCAGTTTGTTACTCTAAAGCTCTCCAGGGTTTGGTGGAATTACACAAAGCAAGAGATTCTTAAAGAAAGCAGAGTCTTAATATTTAAAAATGTGCAACTGAGCACCTGCTGTTGACTGAGTGTTGTTCATAACATAACCCTGAAACCGTTGCTTGACTTGCATAAAGTTAATTTCTGTAATCAGTACGTGTTCATGGGTTGGAAGAATGCATATTTGTCTGAACTCTGCAGGTCGATCTCTGCACAGAGTATGTTAAGTAAAAATAAATATTTTCTTGAAATTAAATGGATCATTCCTGTATGTATTTGTCTTAATATATTTGATACTTCATGTGTTTAATGGGTGTAAGTAGTTCACAGTGGAATGATCTTTGTAAATTAATTTAAAGCAGTTTTTTGTGTAACTTAACAATAATAATATAAAGAGACTTCTTATTCATGTTTTTTGGCACTTTAAATGTCATTCTATAAAACACAAACGAAACTTGGCAGCATCTCCTCATCAGCCATTCTTATGCCACACGTGTATTTGCATTCATAAAATTAATTTATTAACTTAACCTCTGAATTTTTATGAGTCATTCATTATGAGGAAGCATAATGATGCCAAGATATCATTCTCAAATAGAGCATTATATGAGCACTGAAGGGCTGGTTAGTAGGGGCTGATGAGGATTTGGTTCCATCCTTTTGCTTGGAATGAAACCTTGCCCAGTCCTGGCTGAGGTCAGCTGTGGCCTTGTCTCAGTAATGCCTGAAAACCTTCAGAGACGAAGATGACACAGTCTGTATGGGAAACCTGCTGTGTTGCACTGCTCTGTTAAAAACCTTTTCCTAACATCCAGCATCAGCTTTCCAGACTCCAGTCTGGGACCATTGCCCGTAATTTTATTGTCTGGCACCATCAAGAAAATTTAATTCCATTTTTGTAACTCCTCTTTCCAGCAGTGTGGGAAGTTCCTGGATCATCTTTTAGCTTCCTTTTCGTCAGAGCAGGCAAGCTCAGTCTCACATTCTAGATCCCTGACCTTCATAAAGCAGGTGGCAAACAGGAGCAGTGCTGAACAAAATCTTCTTATGTGTTACTTGATGAAGACCTGGCTGAAGTTGTTTGGAGTTGTCTGAGATTTTAAAGTCCTCTAGCAGCACAACTTTTCTCATGTGCTTTGAACTTGGCAGCACTTCTAAATGTCAATGTGTCAAAGTGATCTGGTTTGGTATGAGTTCCATGCCACTTTCTGCTCGGTTGCTTTAGTTCATCTACAAGCTTTTAAGACTGATTATTAAACTAATTGCTTTGATAATAAAGCATTAGTTGCTATCCACTTTCTCCTTTCAGCCTCTTTGCTGGAAGGGTATGTTTGATGTTTTGGGGAACTGATGTAATTCCAGAGGGTTGTTGGAAGTGCAGTGTTGAAGGCATTTGCTGCATGATGCTTTTGAGTTCCTACCTGACCCAGATCCCCTGTCTGGTGCACTGAGGCTGAATTGTTCATTAAAGCTGTTCAGATACTCTCATATCTCCCTGCCCCTGGGCCTTTGGCAGTAAGTGGGGCTGGGGGAAGATGTAAAGCATTTTGAGCTTACAAGAGGACTTGCTGGCATCTGGAAACTTAAACATCACTGAGTAATGTTGACTTAGTACATTTTTTTTTCCAAAGCATGTTTGCAGTGGTTAACCTTCAGGGTAAGGAGCAGACTGGTATTTGTGAACTTTCACTCTTTATCCTTAATGCAAATGCTTGAAGCGATCAATAAAAATTATTTTGTCACATAAATTAGTTTTTCACATCACTAGAAGTGGTCGTGGATAACGTGCAGGAATTCAGTACCACTGCTTTTTATTCTCTGGTTAATAAGCTTGCTCCCTTGCACCTCCTCTGAGCTGAACTCTTCACCTGCCTGTGAGAAAGTTGTCTTGAGTGCTGGTCAGCTCCCCTGGTGCTAGTTCAGCTGTGGTAATCCTGTGATCCTTAGCCATGGCTCCCAGCCAAGGGATTGGGGTACTATTTACCTTCATGAGAGTTTAATCTTGTAAAACTTCATTAATGCTCTTTTAAAATTGGTGTAAGTATTTATCCTCTAAAGTTAGGCAAGAAAGACAAGCGAGAACTGCTGTAGCAGACTCCTTGATTTGGTCTAACCACCACCCCACAAACAAACAAAGCCTCCCTTGCCCTAGGTGTATGACTTGTTAACTGGGCACTGCTTTTTCACCAAATGTATACTTAAAATTATTCATTCTCTTCACAGGAAAAGCAGCAAAGAAATGTTTTCTTTGTCTTTCTTTCTCCAGAGCCGTCCCTCTGTTGGGATACCTACCTCAGGATTTAATAGGAACACCAGTCTTGGTGCATCTTCACCCAAATGACAGACCCTTAATGCTAGCAATTCACAAAAAAAGTATGTAACTTCTTACTGTGCAGAAATAAAAATTTTTTTCTTTAACTTCTTTATAAGGACTACAAAGACCTTATCAAGCAGTAGGAGAAACTTAATTGTGACTTTGATTTTTTTCCACAAGTAAATACTGAATCTTTTACTGCACAATTTGATTCTTAATGCAAATCCATGAAAATGAGAAATCACTCAGTTTTGTAGTTTCTAAGAAGCATACGTATCAATTTGTAAACAAATTGACTACAAATGAATATTTCATACATAAAAGTATGAAATCTACAAAATTAATGAAAAAGTATTAAAGTATGAGAATGGTGTGATAGAAGTTGCCATATCTTACATGATAGTCTTTCTTATTTCATGGAGAAGAAAATAATAGTCATTGTGGCAAAGTTTGTAAAGTCACTTCTTCAGCCTTCTTTAGTTTGTTGTATTCTAAAGGTGATTTTCTTGACCATAGCCCAGTAAATTATGAAGATCTGTTTATTCTGGTAGTTCAGTATTTTTAAATGTATCAGTGTACCCAGTATCTGCTCCCTCAAGTCTCATCTTCCTTCATAAAGAGGAAGTACATTGAATGTCCATTCCCTTCATGAATGTACAGGTCATTGTAAAATCCTGAATTGTTGCATGGAATTGCGCAAACATTAATCTGAAATTTGTTTGAATCCTTCATTGCAGTTCTTCAGTATGGAGGGCAGCCTTTTGACTATTCACCAATCAGGTTTTGCACTAGGAATGGAGATTATATCACCATGGACACCAGTTGGTCTAGTTTCATCAACCCCTGGAGTCGAAAAGTTTCATTTATTATTGGGAGACACAAAGTTAGGACGTAAGTCAGAATATTTTTATTTTCCCTTCCTTTGGGTTTACATAGAGATCCTTAAGATGAGGGGACAGAATAAGCATTAGATTCTGTGTAGGATATGTGGGTGGTAAATTGAAATGTGGTCTCTGTGGTTGAAACACTTGCATTTGCATGAGCTGGTGTGTGTTTGGTTTGTGCAGGGGTCCCTTAAATGAAGATGTCTTTGCTGCTCCCAACTACACAGAGGACAGGATCCTGCACCCCAGTGTTCAGGAGATCACGGAGCAGATCTACCGGCTCCTACTGCAGGTACAGCCGGGGCTTTGCTCCTTCCCTGCTCCGTCCTGCTGGGGAGAGGCTCTTGGTGTCACATTGTCTTTGGCTGCTTCTGCTGTACTGGAGTTGTTGCCTACAGTCCTAGGGGCTCCTTGCATTCATGAGTACCAGACAGCACTTACTGAAGTATGTTAAAGCTCCAGTTGATATCCTAAGAATTTTGTGTAGTTGTGGAGTCCTCCAGACAAACAAACAAAAGAAGGCCCAAAAACCACAACAAAACAAAACAAACCCAACAAAACAAAAACAAGCAAACAAAAAAGCCAAACAGACAAAAAAAAACCTAGAAAAAAATCTAAAAAAACAAAGCAACAAAAAACCCGGTGTAAAATAAAACCGCTTTTCCTGACATGGAATTACTGGTGTCCTGAGGGGGGTGTGTGTATACATACAATACATACATACATACATATTTTATTTTTTTTATTTATGTTAACAGCCTGTACACAACAGTGGATCCAGTGGCTATGGAAGTCTGGGTAGCAATGGTTCACATGAGCACCTGATGAGTGTGGCATCCTCCAGTGACAGCACAGGAAATAATAATGAAGACACTCATAAGGATAAACCAGTAGGTTTTTAGTTTTTCTCATTCAAGTATGTGGCACAAAACAAACTAAGTGGAGATTTTTAACTTTTACAATAATGTTTTCAAATTAGAAATAGGAGAAAGGATAAAGAAAGTGCCATCTTTCTTTTTTTGTTTAGTATAGAAAAACCCTTTTGTCTGAGGGAATAAGCATTTCTGGTGTAGATGAAGCCTCAGGGTACTGAAGCACAGTGATAGACATGAAAGCCAGTGTTATAGAGAATTTAAACCTGTGCAGTGTGTTACCTGAATCTAATGTCTGTTATGTGTTTGTTACATGCTGTGTTTCTTGGAAAACCAGCCAGATATGTGAAAGCCGTTTCTTTTGGGAGGGGAAAGTCTGTAATTACTGTTTTCCCAAATGAAAATAAGAAGATTAAATGCAGTAATACCTGCATAACCAAGGGATAGCTTGACCCTGATCACTTTTCATGTTGGAAAAATACAGCATTTATACAGAACAAAATAAATTGAATGGAATAAAGCAATTTTATAGTTTGTGCTTAGAACTTTACTTTGTGTTTAATTCTGAAAGCCAAAAGATTTCCTTGATAAGTTATATTGCTTATAGGCTAATTCTCCCAAATCTGATTTGTGCTTCTGTGATCAGACTTTGCAGACTCCTGCTCTTGCCAAGGTGGTCACTTTCCTGGCTTTCAGTTCTTAAACACTGGTGGAATAAGTAGATGAAGTCTCAGGATTTCTTATTTAACAGGGAAATAGATGCCTGGCATTCCTTCACTATTTCCTCAGACAGTGAAGGCTGTTACACTCCAGTTCTGTAACATCCTGTCACTGCTTGGTTAGACTTCTGGTATTTTTACCAAGTGATAGATTTGGTTTTTTCCTGACGTCCTCATTGTAATGGATATTTTATATTTTCCTATCCAAGTTATTCAAACAGATTAAAAGAAATACAGAGTAATTGTTTACAGGAAACATACTTTAAATTTCTTCTCTTTCCAATTTCTGCAGCTGCACAGTAAAATTGTATATATACATATTTCTCCTGTGATCAAACTAATTGCAAGATAGAGATTAATTTAGGTTAGATTTAGTCTACTGAGGAATCACTCTGCATAATGTTTTGTGTCAAAATTTTGAAATAACTGTTCTTCCCAAACTGCTTTCAGGAGGTTTGTCAATATGCCCGTAAGGTCAAGAATAAAGGACAGCATATTTTCACTGACAGTAAAGCAAAACTGGACTACAAGAAAGAGTCTTTGGCAGGTAAGACATGAGCAGTTCTTAGTCGCTGGTGCTTTGGATAATATGACAGCAGGACTTTTTTCTAGTTGAGCTCTGTTCAGTGCATAAAGACAGCATTTTATCAATTCAGATTTTATTGTCCTGTGTCTCTCTGCTGTGCCCAGGAAAATATTGTATTTGGCTGTATTGAATCAATAGTGGTGTAACACAATTAAGACGTGGCCTAAAGCTGTTGTCTTGAAATAATTTAAGTGGACACTAGAGTTGTCCTCATCCTGAGTGTGTTTCAACCCTAATGATATATATTCTCTTACAGCCATAGTGTCTATTCCCTTTGGATCCATATCTAATTAAACTTTATAACTCCAAGCACCCATAAAGACAGGAAAATGTTTACATATTATTTATTTATTGGCGCATTACAGTGGTTAATTTGTGACCTGCTAAACGTGTAGAAATGAAAAACCTTTACTGCTGTTCTTTGAGGGGAATTTGTAAGGATTTAATGTCTTAGTTGCATAATAGCAGTATCTCTTTCCACAGAAAAACAGAATACTGCTGGTGCTCAGGTGAAAGGTGTAGGGGGAAAGGATACTGCAGGAACAGTTGCTCCAAAAAATGTGGCTACTGAAGAGCTGGCTTGGAAAGAACAACCTGTGTATTCCTATCAGCAGATCAGCTGTTTGGACAGTGTCATCAGGTGAGCAACCTGTGAGTAAATTACTCTTGACCTCTGGACACAGGACTAGAATGTCTAATATTGCTAAATCTTTGTATTTTAGGTACTTGGAGAGTTGTAATGTGCCTGGTACAGCAAAAAGAAAATGTGAGCCTTCAACAAGTGTTGCATCACTGAGTTCTGGAGTTCATGAACAAAAAGCAGCTGATAATTCTATCCAGCCATTGGGAGGTAACTACATCACAGCTTTTTCGTAGCTGGGTTTTGCTGGCAGGCAGTTGGATGCCACTTCTTTGCAGAATATTGACAAGTGTGTCTTAGGCATGACCTCATAGCTTCTTTCTCAATGTTTGATGTTGGTGATTTAACTTTCATCATTAGTATCTTCCTTACCATTAAAATACTGAGTAGTTGATGCATATCATTGCATATGCATATCTGGATTGTAGATGCAATAAACTAATTTGTACTGTGCAAAACACAGTAGGATTTTGAAGTTCAGGACTTGAATCATTATAATGTTCATTTCACATTTAGGACTTGTAAGAACAATCAGCTGAAGAACCTAGCAGCTAATTAATTGCAACAAAAATATGCATATTACTTTTCTGCTTAAAAAAAAGGAACCAGAGAAGGAAAAATGCAGCATTGGACTGTTCTGTTTTGTAAGATGTTAAAACCTATTGTTCATCCATGGAGACAAAAAGCTGGGAATTACTGAGGCAAGCTGTCTAAAAAGTCTGCTGCAGGCAGAAACATTCAGTTAATTTTTTAGACCTTAGATGTAGCTTTGGACATAGTCCCTTGTGTGGATGGGCTGCTAGATGAAGATTTGTAACTGGTTAGTCCAAGGACTGTGAGATTGGTAAAGAACTGCATGCAAATGAGAGATTTGCTCATTCTGCCTTGTCTCTAAATGAGGCTGAAGGGAGAGTGTCCAGTGGAGTTTTTCAAAAATTGGTTGTGGGAATGATCTTGGCTGTTTGATGAGCTTCAAAAAGAAGTTCCAATGCAGCTTTTAGAATCAAATTAGAAGGTATCAGTAGATCAGGAACAAAGAGTCCTACAGCAGGGATTGAAATGGTGTAATTTGGAGTCTCTGTGGTTCTGGTTAGCAGGAGATGATGTGGGTCACCAGCTCTTTGCTGCACTGACAACTGAGACAGATGAAGTCACCAGTCAGAAAAAAGGCAAACTTTAGATCTTAAGTATGTGTTATGGAAGTATTCCTATGAGAGGAGGAATGTTTTAATGCTGTTTTGTGAGGCACTGCTCTGACCTCTGCTGGATTACTGTGTGTAGCTTTCAGGGGAGAGAATTATAAATAGCTGGATGCTCAAAACAAAGCTCTTACAGTAACCAGCTAATGAAAGAATCCGTGTACAACACTGTGGGAGCTGGGGGCAACTTACTTTTGGGCTGGAAGAGGCTAGAAAATTTCTTCCAAAACTGTGCCATGAAAGAACAGTGAAGACCAGAAAAAGAGGAAAATATCCTTTATTGGAAAGGTTTGGTTTGGCTGTATATGGGCTTAGAGGATTGCATTTGTTGCTCCACAGTCATTCTATTCCTGGAAGTAAAAAGTTCACTTTTTGTCTTGTCAAACAGTTTGGCCTTTACTGTTTTGCAGCCCTAGCAGCATATAACTTGAATTTGCTCTTGTTTATGTTCAGTAAGCTGCAACTTTATTTCTTTTAACAGATCCTGCTGTGTTGAAGGCATCTGGTAAATCAAGTGGTCCCCCAGTGGTTGGTGCTCACTTAACATCTTTGGCTTTACCTGGCAAGCCTGAAAGTGTTGTGTCTCTCACCAGTCAGTGCAGCTACAGTAGCACCATTGTTCACGTTGGAGACAAAAAAACACAACCTGAATTAGGTAGGATTTTGCTAATATTTTTTTCTTCAAGATGGCAAATGCTAGCAAGTTCAAATTTCAGACATGTGAACAGCTGATGTCTGCTCATGACTTAAATCTTCTTACAGCCAAGATGGTCTTAGGAAATGGAATAAATAGGGATGGAATGTGTAATCTTAAACTTGCAGCAAAATTATTACAGAATTGTAATACCTTAAAAATGCATGTACAGGGGTTTCTTTGCTTCATCTTGAGTATTTTGCCTTCTGTTCCTGTAGAAATGATAGAAGATGGTCCAAGTGGAGCAGAAATCATAGATGGCCAACTTCTTGCCCCTCCATCCAGTTCTGCACACATAAATCAAGAGAAGGAGCCATTTAAAAAACTGGGACTTACAAAGGAGGTGCTTGCAGTGCATACACAAAAAGAGGAGCAGAGCTTCTTGAACAAATTCAAAGAAATAAAGAGATTTAATATTTTTCAATCGCACTGTAATTACTACTTACAAGATAAACCAAAAGGACGGCCTGCTGAACGTGGTATGGCAATAGTTTTCACCATAAAACTTGTATTTATATAGAAAGTAAATCCAATCCTGTTGGGAGGGCATTTCCATTTTTAGTGGTTTTGTGGGGCCAGTGTGAACAGTAACAGTTGCATGCTATTTTCAAAACCCACAGAAAAAATTTCTGACAAATCTTGTTAAAAGATTAAAGTGGCATACTGCTTTTAGTGTCGCAATGGACATTTTAGTAACTAATATTTTGATTTTTGTCTGTTCTCTATACTATGAACTGTCATGCATCTACTCTCAAGGGAGAAAAAAACCTGCTTTAGAATGTTTGCTTTACTGTATCTCTGCTTGTATTCCCATGCTTTTCTTTTCCTTCTGTCTTGCCATCTGTTTTTTGTTCAGATTTGTGGTTTTGTTTTGTTTGCAGCTCCTTTGTTTTCCAGTTTTCCCCATTCCACTGTTGTGTAATTGGTGAGACAATCTGATAATTGTCTGGTTGCCTTTAAGGTAATAATGTGATGAGCAGGATGGAAATGGCAGAGACTAGCAGTAGTAGTGAGATTGTTTTGATTATTAGGCCTAGGAGCTCTGGATGGCATTTTCAGAAGTGCTTGATATGATCTGTCTTTGTTCTCATTTTGGTCTTGACTTGGAACAGAAGTCAGACACCGCTAAGCATTTTTTTTTCAGATTTTTATCTGAATTTTTAAATTTAAATAGTTATACAGGTCCTGTATAGCTGTATTTTTATAACCTTTCTTACAACTTTTCCTTTTGCAGGTGGCCGTGGACAAAGAAACGCCACTTCTGGAACGGATCAGCCTTGGAAGAAAAGCGGAAAGAACAGGAAATCGAAACGCATTAAACCGCAGGAATCTTCGGACAGCACAACTTCTGGAGCTAAATTCCCCCACCGCTTCCCCCTCCAGGGTTTAAATGCCACAGCCTGGTCACCATCAGAGACGTCCCAAGCCAGCTACTCAGCAGTGTCCTTCCCCACTGTCATGCCCGCGTATTCTCTTCCTGTTTTCCCGGCAGCAGGGGCGGTGCCACCGGCTCCCGAGACTTCTCTCTCTGGTTTCAATCACTTGCCAGACTCTGCAAACGCTTGTCCTGTGGGGCCATCCCAGTTCTCTGCACCCTTCATGACCCCTGTGGTGGCTCTCGTGCTGCCCAACTACATGTACCCGGAGATGAACAATAACTTACCTCAAACGCTTTACCCCGGCCAGCCCAACTTCCCTGCCCATCCCACCTTCTCCTCACAGACGATGTTCCCCCCACAGCCCCCCTTTGCCACGGCCAGCCCCTTCCCACAGCAGGCGTTTTTCCCAGCGCAGCCATTCCAGTACAACCCCCCAGCAGAGACTGAGAGGGCTCCGGTGGCCGAGCCCCGCAACGACCCCTCCCGTTCCTGCACTCCGCAGTCACCGGCTCCTCAGGACCAGGCTTCCCCACCGCTGTTCCAGTCCAGGTGCAGCTCTCCTCTCAACCTCCTGCAGCTGGAAGAAACCACAAAAACTGCAGAGAGCGGAGCAGCTGCGGGGTTACACGGAGCTCTGGCTGAGGAGGGAGCCATGGGCAACATCAGCGCAGCAGACAACGGCAGTGGCAAGGAATCCTTACCTGTAAGTCTGGCTCACGCCCCCTTCTCCTGGCTCTGCTGCAGCATTTCCAGTCCTTTCTCTTCCAGGGCAACTTGTCAACAATAGGCAGAAGTTATAGAATGCCTGGAGCTGGACTCACAGTTGTAGCGGGTAAATTCAGACCTCAGCAAACTGAACAAAATGTGAAGTCCAAACATTAGAATTAACTCAACCCTTAAAAATTAAATTTACCTGATCATTCTTCTAAAGTTACACTAGGAAGCTTGGAAATGTACCCTGAAGAGTTTTGTTCCATTTCATTGAAGAAAATAAGAATATAGATAAGCCCATTGAAAACCACTGCAATAAACTAAAATAGTTGGACACTTTATTTTTAGCAAAAACTTTTGTGCTAGTGAATTTGTGTGGATGGGAAAAACAATCTGTAAGTGTTCTGAAAGAAGCTGATTTAAATTAAAACCACATCTGTGTTTACAAACAAACAACCAAAGTAAATGAAGAAGTCATCATTTCTTGCAGACCATGACTTTATTTTTCTTTTGTTTGTTGCACTAAAACTGCTGAATTATTTGGTAACTTCAGGGTTTTTTTATTTCCTGGCTCATTTCAGTTTGAGAAATCAGTCTAACAAATAAATTGAGATGGAATAAGATGTCTGTAAAGGTTTCCATGGTAGAAATACGTAAACTATTATTTGTGCTTTCTAAAGGCACCACAGAGTATCGTGGTAAATGCTGATGGGATGGAGCTGCATCCTGTATCTTTTTTTGGTTGCCTCCTTCCATTATTCAGGAATGTGTTCAGGGTAAAGTCAGTTCTTTCCATTATTACATGTTTTGCTAAGTTCTGTCAGCGTTAATTGCTAATATTTAATCTTCAAACTGACTTGCAGTCAAGTTTTGATTAGGTTAAAAATTTAGTGTGGTTAATACTACTTCCTTAAAAATATACAAATAATGATCTTGCCTGGGAAGCAGCTGGGAAGATTTTCTTACTACTCTTAATGGCACTTTTCCTTCTCATCTCAAGGAGGTGGAACAGTGAGGGATGTTGCTGCAAATCCTTTGAGGTAGATTACAGTAGGAGAAATTGCTAGTATGTTGTGAGTGGTTTGGGTAAAATCTGATTTGTCCAGGACAGTAGGTGCTGCCCAAAGTGAACAGGGCACTTACTTTCTTATGAAATTATATTATTAATTTTTTGAAGAGAAATTCAGTTGGTCTTACTGCCCTGTCTGTCAGTCCATTCATTATTCCTTGGCATATGTTATTGGTGACTGTCTTTGAATATATTAGAATATGAAGTGAAATGGATTTATTACTAATCATTTACATGATTAGTAATACAGCTATCACATTTAGTAATAAATGTATTAATAGATAAAGCCTGTCTCATATGCCCTTCTCATACCAGTTGATGCCATCCTCTTTGTTTGTCTCATCTGGTTTTGAATGTAGGAAATTTTTTTTTCTGAGAGAAATGTTGAGCTAATTTTGTAAGATGGTCTTGGGTTAAAGTACATGTTGATGTAAATATAGAGAAGTGCTGACAACTTTGTAACCTTTTATTTAAATGGACACTACAAAACTATGAACTGTTTATTACCTTGAAGCATAATTTCTGAGAATTTATTAATTTAAAGTAACAAAGCTATTACATTTAGTAATAAATAGCTTTGATTTTTGGTGTTTGGGTTTTTTAATTTTATTTTTTCTCCTCATCCCTAGGCTGAATCTCCAATGGATGCTCAAAACAGCGATGAGCTCTCCATGTCCAGTGTCCTGCTTGACATTTTACTGCAGGAGGATGCGTGTTCAGGCACTGGCTCAGCCTCTTCAGGGAGTGGTGTGTCTGCAGCTGCTGAGTCCCTGGGCTCTGGGTCCAATGGCTGTGGCATGTCAGGGAGCAGAACAGGTAACTCAGGCAGCCAGAACCCTCCTGGCATTGCAGAACAATTTGGGGGATTGCAAACACCATGAACAGCAAGTGAAAAGCTTTGTCTTTACTCCTTGTTGCATAGTTTATTCTTGATTTCTTTCTTACTGCACTACACAAAAGTTTTTCTGTTGTGCTTGATTTACAGAACAGATCCTTTTCTAAGTGTGTGTAAAACAGGCATTAAGATATTATGGAGGTATAAAGGAATAATAAAAAGACCATACTCCTTCATGTTCATTTAAAACTTCTAATTATTCTGTTGAAATTAAAAATTCTGTTGAAATGGAGACTCTACTTAAGAATTTGAGTTTTTAGAAGATTAATGCAGTTCGCCAAGAGTGGAAGTTCCCCCTGTTGGAAAAAAAAAAAAAAAAAAGAAGTAGAGTAGTGGTTGTATTTATACATTCAGTTCTCTTTAATCTTCTCTACACTCAAAAATACTCAGATAATCCATGTATTGGACAATTTGTAATGAAAAGTTAAATCTCTGTTTACAGGTAGCAGTGAAACTAGTCACACCAGCAAATACTTTGGCAGCATTGATTCCTCAGAGAATCACCATAAAACCAAAATGAAGACAGAAATGGAGGAAAGCGAGCACTTCATCAAGTATGTGCTCCAGGATCCCATCTGGCTGCTGATGGCCAACACAGATGACACAGTGATGATGACTTACCAGATCCCCTCCCGGTAATGCCAGTGGCACAGCCCTTCACACACCTTCTGTTCAGGGGAGGCAGAATGTTCAGGAGGAAAGATGTATAGGAATCTCTCTCTCTGCAGAAATAAACTGGTTTTAATGTTTAGCTCAGTGTCAAGAAAAATTCTTGCTTCCTTTATGTGTTTTGTACACTACACAAGAACTTCTCAAGAAGGAGAAATTGTTTAATTAGGTTTAGCTGTATTTTTAGGTCAATTTCCTGAGCTTAAATGAACTGTGTGTATTTTTTGGAAGCCGTTCCATAGTTAGTGATTTGTTACTACTTGCCCAGAAATCCCTGATGAATGTGCTTAGATCTAGACATGGTCTGGCCTGGAAGATCTCCAGTCCTTGAGATGCCACATTCAGTGGAATGCTGCTCTTGGACTTGGGGATTTTTTTTTCTCAGTTGTTAACTTCCATGTGTTCATTCTCCATAAAATAGGAGAAGGAATTAGAAGGTAAGAGTCATAAGGCTTCTCATAAAATAACCTTTTAAAAAAAAATTAAAAGCCTCACTACTTCAGTAGCAAAGAGCAGATATAGGGAAAGAAGGGGTGACGAGTCTGGATTATTTTTTTCCCTACTTGTTTATATTTCTTGGGAGCAGTGGATGGTGTTCTGAGAAGAAGTGGTGGTTTCAGTAAAGACAGGGCTTTGAAAGGGAAGGTAAACAAGCTTTCAAAATACAGAAGCACAGGCATGATGGGGAAAGTAAATACATTGTAAGAACTTCAGCTTTTTTTTTTTTTCTAGTTTTAAAAATACTTTGACATTTCTCAGTTTTTGTAATCTGAAGTGTTGACAGTCACAGGTTGGAATTGCAGTAGCCCATAAAAGCATGCCAAAGAGCAGGATATTTTGGTAAGAAGAGTGAAGCTCATTGTCAGAGTGCAAAGTGAAGTGTAAATCCAACCTGTTCTTAGGTACCCTGTAAGGAAAAGAAATTATTTTGGGTTTCTTGGGGCTTGCTTTCTATTGTTGTCTTTTATAGAGGGATACAGCTTATAAATGTTGCTGTGGGATGGGTTTTTGTAGGTTCCTGAATGGAGGTGGGGCATTTGGAGGGAGAGAGAATCTTGGCTGCTGAAATAGAGCTGTTTTCTGAAGTTTAGTTCATTCTTGGTGACCTTCTTAAACATACCTTACACATCTTACTACTCCTGCTTTATCTCCTGTGCATCAAGTGTCTGCTTTGGGTTCTCCTCCCACTGAAGGGGGCTTGGATCAGCAGCAGAGGGAAACTGGAGCTTTGCTCGTTTCACTGGTGGTGCTGCCTGAATTGCTCTAAGAAAACTCTTCTCACTGATGGGATTTGAAAAGACATGAGCCAGCAGAGATGTCTGCAAATGCAGGGAGCAGCTGGAGTAATCACATTTCATTTTCTTCCAATATGAGATTTCTAAGCATAACGTTCTGGAACAAAAATAGTCTTTAAAAATGTTAGTATTTGACTGTGTAACCTCACGTAGGCATGAAGCCCAGAAACTGATGAAGCTCAATTTCTAAATACGTTTTATTTTAGGGATTTGGAAACAGTTTTAAAGGAAGATAAGCAGAAATTAAAGCAAATGCAGAAACTACAGCCAAAATTTACAGAAGAACAAAAAAGAGAGCTTATTGAAGTTCATCCATGGATTCAGCAAGGTGGACTGCCAAAAACTGTTGCTAATTCTGTAAGTTTAGTGGGTTAATTACTTTTGCATGTATAATAGTGCTTAAATTATTAGCTGCCTGTGTTAGACTCTTCCTTTCCTGTTGCTATGAAAGCTTGGTCAATTATGCATAGGAAGAAAAAAAGGAATTCAAACTTCTATGCAGTGGTTTCTAGCTTGATTAATTTAGCATAAATCTTCTTTCCAATGGAGGAAATTAAAGTACTGGTGAATACAGTACAAGAAATTTCCTTCCTCTTTCTGAATTTCTGTGTCTCTGTTTGAAATGCTTTAGCAACATAGCAGAAAGTTCACTACATAAAAATCTCTACTTCATGTGCAGAAATGGATGCCCATTGTTTTGAGAGTACAAAATGAATGGCAATATACTGATCCTTTTTTCTATCAGACTTCTCACTCAGGATTATGATTCCTCTAAGTAGTTTAATGGCTTGAAAGGAAAAAATAAAAATAAAAACCTCAACAGAACAAAGCATCCATGCAATTTTATTTGTTGTGTGTGTATTTTACTTATTCACACACAAATACCTGATTGCATTTCCTTTTCCCTAAGCTTTCTATCAGTTGTGGCCTTTTTTGCACAAAAGCTGTCAAACAGAGGCTCTGTTTGCACATGAGTGTTTCAAAAGTCAGTGTGAAGGAATTGCAGTGGAATCCTAATTGTGGTGCTAATGTCACTACAGCACTGATCCTACAAGCACCCACCTTGTGATCTGTGGATTTGCATTGATGTATTGCACTTTATAAAATCATGGGGTGTGGAAAAGTTGTGGGGTAAAATACAGCTACAGCACAGGTGGAAAGGTTCTCTTGGAATCAAGGATTGCATGCAGGTGGACTGCTGCTTGGAAATACTTTACTTATGAGTGCTTCTATTCCTTTTTGCTTTTTAGGAATGTATTTTTTGTGAGGACAATATACAGAGCAATTTTTATACATCATATGATGAAGAAATCCATGAAATGGACCTTAATGAAATGATTGAAGATAGTGGAGAAAACAACTTGGTTTCCCTGAATCAAGTCAGTGAAGAACAAACATAGCCTTTGAGCCTGTTGTTTTGAAAATTGCTTCAAAACGATAGTGAAGGATCCACAAAGGTTTTCATCTTTTATCCAGCTGGATGAATGCAGTTCATAAAAGCAAATGTGTTTTTCTTGCTCTAGAAGAGTCATTTGTGAATGAATCTCTTTTTAAATGGTGGCAATCTCTTCCCAGTAAGGACATTGTTGAAGATGGTATAGCTTTTCTTTAAAAGACTCATTTTGCACTTACATGCCTCAAGTATTTCTTTATAAACTATAGAAACTTTCATTGATGCCTACTGTTTTTGTAGAGTGGGTTAAGAAGTGCTGAAAATCTCACATACAGTTCTTCAAATCTCCTTTTGGTGGTGGTGGTGGTGGTGGTTCAGCATCATAAATTGTTGAGCAATTCTGTTAGTGGCTCTTTAGCATTGTTCTTAATATTTGAAGTGGTCCAGCATAGTAGAAGAAATAACCTTCAAGGAAATCAATTCACACTTGCCCTTCTCATGACAGTTGATCCCATCCTCTTTGTTTGTCTCCTCTAGTTCTGAATGTAGGAGCTTCTTTTGTCTAAGAGGAACGTTGAGCTGATTTTATAAGATGGTCTGGTATTAAAGCTCATGTTGATGTGTAAGTACAGAGGACTGCAGACAACTTTGTAGCCTTTTATGTAAATGGACACTGCAAAACTATGAACTGTTCATTACCTTGAAGCATAATTTCTGAGAAATTTTTACTCAAGAAATCCTTATGCTTAAAGATTTTAAAAACTTAAGACCACAGAGGATGACTGGCCGCGCTCCAGTGGCTGTTAGACAGACCTTGGGGTAGCTTTAACCTTTATTGCTGACGTGTTCTGCCAGGAGGTTGGCCATCAGTTTTTCCAATGTGGCTAAACAAACATCAAATTTGTATGTGGCAAGAGAGAATTAGATGTGTCTTGTCATTTGAAGATAGTTCTTATAAAAAAGAAATTATTTTCAGAATAGTGTCGACTCACTCTATTTGATTTACATAATGTCAAATTTAGCGTGGCTGGAATCCTTTGCTGTGGAAGATTTCATTTTAATGCCTCTGAGATTGTATTGACTGGAATGTGTGTACTTTGTGTTCCTGTGCTGTTTATGTCTGTTGGATGTGGGAAGAGAACGGGAGAGAACAACTGTTAATATGTTGGGTAGTTAAAGGGCTCATTCAGTCCTTTAAAGCAGTTTAGTTGCTGCATTGCCCGGTGTCAGCTGTAAGTCTTGGTGTGAAAAGTGACGAAAGTTAATTGAATTTAACTTCGATATGTTTGTCTTAAAATATTTTTCATGGGAAGCATTTCCTTTTTTAGTAGGATAACATTTCTATTCCCTGAAATTTAAGGTTATTTTCATTCTATACAAATATTTATCTTTTTATACAGAGAGGATGTGAAGTTAGATCTAGCACCAAAAACATGCAAAAGTGACTGGTATTCGCTTAGCAGAAGAAATAATTTGTTTCAAGTAACTAGTTATCAATTGGAAAATTTGCACTGGAGACAGGTTCTGCAGGTAGCAAAGTGTGTCAGCTTGTGAAACAAGCAGAATCACAATCTTAAAGAATGAATAAGTATTTTAAATGAAGCACTACCCAGCAAGATCTGATGCCTGTCTTTAACAGTTCAGCAAGGTCAAACGTAAATATTTGTAAATACAAAGTAAATGAGAAATTTTCCAGTGTTGGTGTTCACGTCCGATGTATTCAATGTTTTAATCATAAATGGAACAGTGCAGCTATACCAACATACTAAATATATTTCATTTTTACATGAAAACACAAACATGGACCAGCGTTTGGGAAAAACAAAAGCTTTATATAAAAGGAGTGCATCATCATTATACAAATAATTTTCAAAGACTTCTCAACCACTTTGAACTTCTTTGCTTTAGCATGCTTTTTTTTTTTCCCCCCATGTCTTTTTTTATTTCTCCTCATTTCTTTTATTTTTTTTTTTCAGTGACCATCTTGTAACCATAACTTAGTGAAAGGAAGAGAAAAGTATATTTAGAGCATTTTGTGGATGTGCTTACTTATGGACTTAATCTTGCATCCTTAAAGTGTTTGCATTTACAGGGTGGTATTAAAATATTTTCCTGTAACTTTAAATCTACATGCCTCCATTTATAGATAAGATTCTGAAGCTGTAATTTTTCCAAACTGTTGTAAGATGATTTATTTGTGATGACACTTTGTCAACATGTCAACAATGTTTTCTGTACACTGTGCAATATATTTTGGTTTTGCCACTTGTGACTAATTTTTATGACTTTGCTTTTTAGAAAACTGGTAAATAAAACAGATATATTTTTAGTTGCCTTTTTGTTCCTTGAGGCTTCTACTCCAAGTAAGAAGTCAGAATATGTGCTTTACTGATGGGATGTGAGCTGGTGTTTCAGACTCCAGAGCTTGCTGTGATGTTGGCTCTGCCTTGCTGTCCTGGAGTAAAATTGCTGCCAGCTTTTCTGACCTCTGAGTTTAGTGGTCCCATGGAAGATTGAATCTTTATGTTGAGTTGTTCTGAAGTCATGTGCAAATTTCCTGCACGAGCACATGGAGCCAGGCTCTGTGTACAAATCTGCCAGAAGACACCTCCGGAGTGCTTTTGGCTTCGTTCAGTGTCAGTGCAGCCCCTGAGCTTCTACAGGGCTGGCTTAGGGGCAGAGAGTTCCAGTCGTGCCCCTTGGGTTTGCTCTGTGCAGTGATTTCCAGCCTTCTGTCGAGGTGTGAGGTGTTGTCTTGGAAGATTGCTGAAACTTTGCAAGCTGCAGTGCTTCCCTGTTGGTGTTTGCTTCTCTGCTGAGTGGGGCAGAGCTGGAGCTCAGGACTTGGACTCCTGTTCAGGAGGGACTCAGGTTGTGAGACCTTCATTAACTCTTTTTCTCCGTGGCTTTGTTGTAAGAGGTTTGTGGAATTCTTTAAATAGAGCAAGCTGGTTTGGTCATAAAGGACCCAGATCCTTCTGTAAGCTGCACAATCGAGGTGTTTGGGTACCACAGAGCAGTTCAGCACACAGGGGAACTGCCTTCACACCAAGGGCACAGTGGTGGTGCTGTGCACTTGTGTTTTAAAACATGCTCGTTGAGCACATTATGTAGGGCTCTTTGCAGTCCTCTGCATGAACCCTAAAACTGTGAGCAGCTCTGTGTCTGTCTGAAAACACTTCTGTCCTAACAGCACCCGAGTTCCTTGCTCAGGTCAGCACGCAGAGAGGAGAGATGTGTTGGTGGAGCTGTGACAGAGCTCCAAACCTGAGTGTCACCCGCCCGAAGCACTGTGCCCCCCCAGAGGGGCTGGCATTTGGAGGCAAGTTCTGGGAACAGATAGCAAGAACCTTGGGAGCACTGAGGTGCTGCTGGTGGGATAAACCAGGTAATGTTTCACACTCATTTCTGCTTTTGGTAATTTTATTTTCAGTTAACTGTAATAAGAGTGTGAGTTAAACGTGGCTTCAGGTATTTACAGACTCCTCCTTGGTGAGGTTCTGGCAGCGCCCAGAGCCCGGGGCTGGCCCTGCAGAGCTGTTGGGAGGAGCCTTTGTCAGAGTTTTTCCCACCTCGGCAGCCCCTAGATGTCACTGGTGTCCTGGGATTATCTTTGGCAGCATTTCCACCCGTTTGTCTTTATTCAGCTTCCTGTACACTGGGGCTGTTGACTTTGCCACGACATTATTTGATGTGAAGTGAAAGCTCTGTGGCTTGAATTTCAAATATGATGAGAAAATTCATATTGAAGAGCTGTTGGCCCAACGACAGTGAATGCCAACATAAAAGCTCTGCTTGGAAAAGGGAAACAGACTGCTGAAAGCCCCAGCTTTTGGTCCACTTAACAGCTGTCATTAATTTAGAGGTGAAAAAAGATGCTGTCCCTACTGAGAATTAAGATCCTTGATGGTTATTTTGTCTCTAAGAAGGGTGCAAAGAACCCAAGGCATCGATGAGCCTCTGACCCAAAAAAGAAGATGATGAAACAAGTTGCATGTTTCTGGCAAAGTAACAAACAGATGACTTGAAGGGAGATAAGGTTTGCAGGTGTGACTTCCAGAAATCCCACTGTTTAATTGATCAAAAGTGCTTAGGAGCTTAAGAAATTTATTCAGGATATTGAACAAGGTAACCAACAGCTCAGAAACTCCTTTTCCTCAGAGGCTGTGGAAGAGGACTTTATTTTCAGGGTGTGTAACAGCTGCGTCTCTGCTTCATTGAAACAAAATACCAAACGAACGACAAACTAAACCCAAACTTCTGCTGTCCAAGTGGAAAAGTAACATAACGCTGGGTAGAAACTGAGGCTACTGAACCCTTAATCATGGGCATTCCTCTTGGTATCTGCTGACAAAACGTGAGCTCCACCAGGCTGCTGTGTGTGTGTGGTGAGCTTCCACTCCCAGGGTTTCTGCAGACTGAGAAGCTGCTGTGGCAGCGCATGAATAGTGTTTAACCTCAGCGGATAACACAGTGTGAGAGCCCTTGCCTCTCACTTGGAGAGAAGATGCTTTTCAGCTGTGAAAGAGGCCCCGTGCGGTGGGCAGGTGCCCGGGATGCCCAGGGCGGGTCAATGCTGTCTGTGCGGTGCACGGAGGGAAGGAGCGCCTGCTGCAGCTGGGCTGAAAGGTTTGCTGGGGCAGCCACTGCGCCCTCAGCCCCACGGGGATGTGCTGCTTTGCACTTCATTTGTTTTCCTTTGTTTTGGAGACAAACACAAGGGTGGATTCAAATTTCCTGGTATTCCAGGATTTGTCAAGGTGTACTTGTCACTTTACAGTCTGTAGTAAAACAGGATATAGCGAATTTATTGCTCTCTTTAAATCGTTACAGTGGTCTAAAAGTAAACTGCTTGTGTTGCTGTTGCACTGCCTGCTTCCAAAATTCTACTTCTGTCCAAGAACTTATTGGCTGTGCTTTTCCTATTTAGAAACCCCGACTCTTGCTTGTCTAAGGTAATGTCTACTGCTTTCCCTTCTGTAGTCAGCAGCTGACTCCCCTAGAAATCTGTGGCCTTTTTGCACAGCGTGCTGGATAAATTCAGCACATGTGCTTCTCTGGGTGGCTGTAATGTTTAATTTGCTCGGCTGTGGGAAGCAGCAGGGCTGGCTGCGTGGCTGTGCCAGCCTGCCCGGGCTCCCAGGTGAGTGCTGTGGGTGGCACACGGGATTTCCACCCACGATTTCGTCTGAGCCATCTGTCCTTTCTGCTCGCTGTCACCTTTGTTCCAGCGTTCGAGTGTTTGCAGTTTGGTTGGGAGCACATGCATTGCGCTCAGGACTCTCTTTGTTCTTGTGTTAATAAACTTCTCTCACTCCTTTAACGCTCGGTCTCGGTTTTGAATACTAGCAGATCTGTCCTCACATATTTTGGAAAACTACCCTTTTGTGGTTCAGTTATGTTTCTAAATTTGGTGAAAACCAGGAGTTTCTGATGAAAATGGTTAATTCGATTGCAGAGTAACAAGTTTGTGCCGAGCAGTACCTGCAATGCAGAGCTACTGTTTCTTCTAGAGTCCTGAAATACGTAGTTCATTTCTGCAGCAATACAGGATTCTAGGACATAAAATCATGTTATTTTTCTCTTGCAGTGACAGAACACACATAATTTACTATACCAACCAGTGTATTTCAGTATCAAATGGTATGTAAGTGAACCATTTTGTACTTTTCATTGCTCAGTGTAATAGCTATCTTCTAGTGTAGTTTCTGTTCCTCTTTAGACTAAATGAGGTTTCGAGTTACTAAAAAAAAAACCAAAAACAAACAAAAAAAAACCAAACCAAACCAAAAAAAAAAAAAAAAAAAAACACCCAACCAAACCCTCCAGGAAATAACGGAGTTGAAAAAAGATCCACGTCTACCCGAGGCATGGCAAACCCGGGATGGCCCGGCATGGCTCTGGCTGCAGGAGGATTTCGGGTGCCGGGGGGGCTCAGCAGCAGCCCCAGCGCCGGGCTCTGCCTGTGCCTCCCGGCTCTGCCTGTGCCTCCCGGCTCTGCCTGTGCCTCCCGGTTCTGCCTGTGCCTCCCGGCTCTGCCTGTGCCTCCCGGCTCTGCCTGTGCCTCCCGGTTCTGCCTGTCCCTCCAGGCTCTGCCTGTGCCTCCCGGCTCTGCCTGTGCAGAGCTCCCAGCGGGGCCAGAGCCAGAGCCAGCATCTTCAATTCGTGCATTCAAAAAGCACATGGCATGTCACAGCGCGGGCAGCAGTGACAATGGCAGGAATGTGGCCGTCGGGAGTTATTTCCAGTGTCTATATGCAGTTGTCTTGACAAGCCTCCTCCTTTTTTGTGTTCTGAAGAGCTGTGCCTGCCTGTGAATGGGGCACTCTTTGTCCCAGCTGCTCAGAGCAGGGCTGGGAGGGAAGGTGGCAGAGCCTTCTGCTCAGATCTGATTTCTGGGGGTGCCTTCCTCTTCCTAAACCCCACATCCCTGAGGCAGCACAACTTCTGTTCACTCCTGCTTGCCTTGAAGATGTTTTGCCTCCCTCTCTTTTAGAGACAAATCCAAGTATAAATATGTTTATTTTAGAATTGTGCTGAAATTTTTTAACTGCTGAAATCATGTGGCAATACTGAAGTGTTCCCACATGGTGTAAAAAGCCAGGAAATTCTTCCATTGTCTTTAGCTTCCATTGTCTTTTCGTGTACAAAAAGATAGTTACCGAACTCTTTCAGTAAAGGCTTCTAAAGCTTTGGATGTAGTCAGGCAGTCAATTTCTTATTATCTTGGTAATAATTACTTTGCATTACATGAATTTAAAGGAGTTCAGCTATAAAGACCTGATTAGGAGCACACATGAACAACATTGTTTTATTAGTCTTGCCAGTCCCCCTAAAACACCTGCCCTGTATGTGCTCTACCATTATGAGGTGATGCTTAGGTCTTAACTTTTAATAATAGAATTTTCAGGGATTTCTGGCTTGGATTTTTAAGGAAAATCTGTTTGCTTGTTTGGCTTTTTAATTTTTTTTTTCTTGTCTGATAGTCTCAGCTAACAGGTGGGATAAAGGTGTCTGTATCTCAATCTGAGAAAACCGTTTATAGTCTCTCTTCGATTTCATGGCAGAATGACAGAAACTGAAGCAGACTGCACACTGTAAATGGTTGTACAGGTTTCACTCGCTGACAGAATGAGTTTGATGGGGTGATCTGTGGCTGCCTTCACCACCTCATTCAGCGTTCAGAGGCCTGTGAGGTTTATGGTGCTGTCCCTCACTCTTCACCCCGGCAGGGTGGCTCTGCAGGTGGAATCTTTTTGGGAGGATTTGCAGGATCAAAGGGCCCAAAGGCTCAGAAGTTGTGGCTCAGTGCCCGCGGTGCCTTCAGGG